TGTAGATTGCCACAACTTCTTAATATTTAGTCAGTGTCCTTTATCATTTTTTTTTCTTTCGGTTCATTGGTTCCTTTCTGGTAGGGGAGGGAATCATTCTGGTTCGTTAGATTTAAAGAAGTTCGGGTCCGTCTTCGGGGGGATGATAGCTAGAAGTAGGATAGCACGGTTACGTTTATGTCCTGTTAATAGTCTGTCCGTCTTCACATAAAATAAATAAATAAATAAAACAAAGAATAAAAACAATATATACAAATAATTACGTCATCATTAAGTATAAATATCAGTACCCCCCGTGGCTTATCCTCTTTAGGCCTTTTTTGTTATAGTTGTCATGGGTGGGTAAGGGCGGGCACGTGATTATATTTGTCCCTACGTTACTCATTGATTTACAAATGTACTTCGTAAACTCGTACATTTGCTAAAATCAATCTCATAACTTCGGGACAAATATAATCACGTGCAACTGCGGAGTAGAATTAAAATCATTAATAATTAAAATATTGTTCTAAAAATTTCTAGTCTAAAATTCTATATATTAATAAATTTTTGTAAAGAAAATAAAATGCATAAAAAATTCTAAAGTAATAAAGGGAATCAAGAAAGGGCTTCCTTTAAAATTTGCCCTATTCTTTTCTAACATAACGCGTACACCCCTTTGGTAAAACCTTTGAAAAGTGGTGTTACTTGTCCAATTTCCCGACATTAAAACTGTTGATAAATCCATGCCTGCATTTTGTGCCTCATAATTCCAAGAAAATCTCTTTTTGACACCTTAAGCAAGAAAACGAAAAACTCACTGGCCCAAAGCTAATGTCAACTAGGTCAATCTTTTTTCAAACTTTTATAGCATGATTTCAGCGCCAATGTAAAATATATAAAACATCCTAGTGTAACTAAGAAAAGTTAAAAAAGGACTGCGCCACACAATAATAAATTTGCTATCATTATAATAATTGAAAGGTTTTAAAATATTATATTTTTATTCGTTAAATCTTGCATTTACGTGTTTGTAAAAGTTTAAAAAACATCAATAATGATATATAATGAGTATGCCGTTACGGATTAAGCTTTCAAAATGTATAAGAATTAAATTTATCAGAATTTTCCAATATTCTTTATTATTATGAATAGCATAAATATTAATTCTAATCATTGTTTCAGCTGGCCATTAATAACCTCCTATCTTTTCAGCATGAACGATGCCACAAATCCTTTTAAAAGGTTCATATTATTCTAAGTTACTATCCCAAATATTTATTTTCTTTACTTCATAAATTTTATTATTAAAAAATTATCGGTGTTATGTTCGATTTTGTTTCTCTGAATTTGCCAACTTCCGGAGATGTGGAATTGATGATCTTTTGACCGAAAATTATTAGATAAAAATAAATTTAACGATGAGCACAACTTTGGCTAATTTAGATCAAAGATCTAAATTTACTAAAACAACCATTTGGTATTTTCTTCATGAAATTCTTATTAAGAGCAGTGATTGTCAAATACTCTGGAAAACAAGTTGGCCATGAGAAAGGATGAACTTGAAAATTGAATTACGTAGCTTTTATTTATTATGGGTTACTTTTACACGCAGGACTAAGCTCACTTTTCGTCTATTATAATTATCCAATCTTTATTGTCGCAAAAATAGAATATGCGAAAAATAGAATACATGTACAAAATTCTCAATTTTTTGCTTAATAGTTAATGAAATCAGATATTTCAACCACACTAATTAGTTAGTTTAATATTTAAGTTTACATTTTGTGATTTACTCATGAATGTAAAGTGTAATGAATTCTTTGAAAGTGTAATAAATTCTTAAAATTTAGAAACTATAAATTAAGAAAAACTTTTTCTTGATCTTAAATTTTTTTATAATCTTTTTATATTTTGTTATTATTTCATCAATATTAATATCTATCTCAAAGCTATTATCATAACTAATGATTAATGAAATCGGATTTTGTGGTATACGAGCTTCCCAACCAGTAAAAAATAATTGCAAATCTTCTGAACTTAATTTCTCATGACTACGTAATATTAGTAATTTTAGTTCACGAAAATTTTTTGGTGAATATTTAACAACAATTTCTAAAATTATTTTTCCTCCTATATATGAATCATCACAAATAGTTTCAATACTATCTAATTGTTGGCAATTCTTAAAAATTGCTTCTAGTATTTCTGTTCCATTTTTTGGAAATTTAGTATATAGTGATTTTAAATTTGGACAAAATTCAGCTATAGTTAAATTTAATGAATTATTACATTCATTCACATATAATTCTTTCAAACTCTTTCCATTATTTTCTAAGAAATTAATTAACATATTAACTTCTACTGGACAATTAACTAATGTTAAAATTTGTAAGTGTGGAAAAGTAATATGTTGCAATTCTTTAAAGTCAGCATTTCTATATTCAAATAATAAATTCGTTATTGTACTTGAATGTGGTTTTAATGAAGATACTATCTTTGACCATTGTTTATCATTATCATCGTAATTATAATTATGATTCCGGTAATGTTTTATAAATGATAAAGATTTCAAATTATTTTGTGATAAAATTAAATCTTCTAACCCATCATTTTGAGTATAATAACATAAATGTATTTCAAGTAATTGTATATTGTGACATATGCTAGATAGTTTACAAAGAAAATCAGAATTAATGTTAACGTCGGTGCTACATTTTAATTCTGAAAGATTTTTTAAACAATCTTTTGCTCCAGGAAGATTAAGAATAAAACTTGGAATACGCTCAAAACCATTATAAATTTCATCACAAGAAAATTCATTTTTTGAACAAAAATCTAACCTTTTTAAAGAAGGAGTTTGTTCCATAAACATTTTTAATATTTCTTCTGTTATCAAAATGGTTGGTATATAAGTTTCATCATAAATACTATTATAAAAGCTATTAACATATAATATATATGGAATTGAAAGAACTTTTAAAAATGATGCATAATTAAACAATGGAGATTTTGAAGTTGAATTTGGGATGGAAATTCTCCAATTACGTATTAAATCTTTTGATTCTTTAGGGAGTAAATTGATTAGAGTTTTAAATTGTTTATATGGTATATTTTTTCCAGGATTCAAAATGTACCTCCATAAAATTTCAACAGAAATTCTACACCAAAGACGATCTACTAGTAAGCATGAATATAAAGTAACTTTGTCATCTTCTAAACATTCTAAAATTTTGATAAGACAATCAATAGGAAGTTGAAAGGCCATTTTATTTAATAAAAAATAAGAAAGGTATTTAGGTTCTTATATTAAGCAAATAATGTCAGAATTAATTATTATGAAAAAGAATTTGTCGAAATTACACATGATCTGCATTATCAATCTGATCTTTTATTCCTTTACGTCACCACCTAGAACTAACAAGAGCTTGCAAAAATAATTAATTGTATACTCGTACTAGAAATGACTCAATACATAAGATTGAACTTATTTATCGTGGTTAGCAGTGAATTGTTTCGAAAAAAATGAGTATTAACATTAATTAAAGTTGAAAATACAAATACAGTTCTATCGGGCTTAGTTCATTTGGAGATAATTATACTGGTAACAATGCTTACAGTTATCGATTTTACAATGCATCAGGTAATTTTATTTTTCATTTGAAGATGTGAAGATACTCAAAATATGAAAATGAATCGGGTAGTAAATAAATCTCATGCCATGTTGAATTATAGTGGATTTAATTTTGGTTGGGTTCATTGTGTATGAATGGTAATTGTTTACATGTTAACAATCATAGCAAAAATTATGAAAATAATTTTATTACTGATACAGTTTATATCATTGAGACCTTTACTGTAGACATCACCATCACTAGATAGATAATTATTTTAAGAAATTTGATGATAAATAATCTAAATGGTGTAACAATCTGTAACATGTAAACGCGTGATATGTCTGCACCTGATCTATTCTGTGTGTAATTTAATACTAACGAAAAAAGGATTAGTTTATTAATCATATTTCCATTCGATGATACGATCGGCCGAATCGAACGTTGATTTGTTAAAAAAAATTTTAATCAGCCCGAAATTTTTTTCAAATTTATTTTTTTTCATTTTTTTTTCTTTAAACCAAATGTTTTTGTTTTTAATATTTTAATATTTAGTATTTTAAATTTTTTTCGGATTTTAATTTTTTTTCCCTTTATATAATCTGTATAGTTTTAATTCTCCTCGGAATCGATACTGCGGTGCACGGTTTTTTAATAATTTATTTTCTTGGTTATTTTTCTTTTTTTCCTAATTTTTTTTTTGTTGAAATAAATATATTATATATATTTCTATTTGAATAATATATTTTATATGGTTCTTTTAGTTTATGATTATCCAGCCAAAAAAATAAATAAATAAAATAAAAATAATAATTTTTTAAATTATATTTTTTAAATAATTAGTATAATTATTACTTATCTTCAAATATTTTTTAATTTAATATTATAATTTATAATATTTAATATAGTAAAATTTTTATTATGTAATAGCTAATTTCCTAAATATGCAGTATATGTTTCTGTTTCAACGAAACAGGTTGTTACAGTTAGATTTAAAATGTTCACTTTTTATAAATGAAGCAACAAACTAATTGAATAATTATCCCTAAAAGTCATAACAAAGTCAAAAACTTGATGATTTTCTAATATACAAATGAGATGTTCGATTTATTTACAGATTCTAAATGTTATAATGTACAGTACATTGTTGCATATGTAATTTATACTATTAAGCGAGGTAAATAATATTCGAATGAAATTAGGCCAAGCTAAAATTACCTAAAATTAGGAAATATACAGTTGATCAATGCAGTAGACCAAACACGACATATCGACTAAAATACAAATTCATCATCTGTGCATGCATAGTTGTATCATGTATGCATAATGCTACTTACCTAACGCAGAGAAAAATTTTTTTTTTAAAAAAAGAAATAAATAAACTCACTATTATAATTATATGACAAAATGACTTCGGTAATAGAATGGATTGAGGAAAAGATAAAAAATGAGTGTATTCATTATTTTGAATAATATGATAAATTTAGTCATTTTGATGAAATTGGTAGAGGAAGTTTCGGTAAAGTGATTAAAGCAAATTTGACTAACAGGGGATTGGTCGCACTAAAAATTATTTTTAATGATAATTCAAAAGAGAAGCTTAACGAGGTTAACGAAGAGTTCGTCAAGGAGGTAGGAATCGTTTATGTTGTATAGTATACAGTATTAACTTGTTATATACAGCACATATTAATTAAATCCATTTTGTTTTATCAAATTTTTCTTCTTTTTTTAGCTAAAACTCCTTCGTGAGATTGATTATCATTCAAACATCAATCATTTTCTGGGAGTAACAAATGGTTTAAGATTTTTTTTTAAAATATTTATTTATACAGTTCAATATAACTTATTTATATTTAAATTAATAGATTCAATGTCTTATATTTTGGTGTTGGAATATGCAAATGAAGGAAATTTAAGAGATTATTTGAGAAATAATTTTGCTTCTTTGGAATGGAATCATAAAATTCAAATGGCATTGGATATTACTAATGGATTGAAATTTCTACATTCCAAAGAAATAATCCATAGAGACTTGGTAAAGGAGTATTAATTTTATAGTATTTTGTTTGTGATTTTGTTTTGATGATAATTTTAATAAATACTTGTTTAATCATTTTATAGCACTCAAAAAATATATTAGTGAATAATGGAAAATTGTTAATTGCAGACTTTGGATTATCTAAAAAGTTAGCAGAAATTACAACTTAGTTCAATGGGTAATAAAATGGGGATGTACGAATATATTGAACCACAATGTATTAAAAATATCAAGTATAAAAAAGATAAGAAGTCTGATATCTATAGTTTAGGTGTTTTATTATGGGAAATTTCAAGTGGGAGTCTTCCTTTTCACGATTATCGAAGTAATCGAAATATATTAGCTATTCACATCAGTTATAACAATCTTAGAGAAGAACCAATTAAGGGTACACCCCTAAAATATCAACAACTTTATCAAAAATGTTGGGATGATGAACCAAAATTAAGACCCGATATTGAAGAAGTATATAAAATTTTAAATAAAGGTACACAATAATATAAAGCTAATTAAAAAATAAATGCAAATACTACAGGTTTACCTCCCTTATTTTGATAAGTTTTGACAATAAACTTCAAAAAATTAACGAAATTCTATTCTTTAAAATACCATTTCCATTATAAGATCACTCATATCCATATCCACAATCATATACTCCGTACCTATAAGATACTCATATCCACAATTACTCATTTCCACAATACTTCCAACATATGCATTATTCTACGAAGCATGCCGGAAAATTTTTTAATTACAGGCATTTTGAGTCGAAGTCGGTTAATATTTTTCAATAACGTTTTCTTCGTTTATTTTTAATTTGTTTTATTCTTTTTTTTCACTTAGTGTATTTTATTTCATTTGTTTCAATTATTTTTCATTATTATCGGTATATTTCAATAATTTTTCCGTTAAAATTTCGTTGTCTTTCTTGTTTTTTTTAAGACTATTATCACCAGAATTTTGGTTTTAAGATTTGAATGATACAAAGCCATAGTTCATGATTTTAAATTAAAATTTGTATTAGGAGCTCTTTAAGTTGGTAATTATTGGAGGGGCAGCGTTGCACAATTATATTTAAATCTGATATATTGATAATAGAACCGAAACTTGAATGTTTCCTATCTACAAGTTTACTTAAGATGGATGAAATAATTGATAATTTTTTTTTTCGATAGGAACCATAATTTTATTTTACTTTTTTAATAGAATCTGTTTAACTTTTTTTTTTTGTTTTTTGAGATAATTTTTTTAACAGGATGCATTTGATGGTTTTTTTTTTTTTTGATAAATGAAGGTCCATATGTCTATATGAAAAAAAAAATGGTCATCACTACATATCTTTAAAACGCTTATTCTTATTCCTCTATGCTTAAATAATATCCTGATTAAATCAAAAAAAAATAATGAATCAACCGAAATTTTTGGCCATAAATGTAGCTTTAATTAATTAAAATGAAATATTGAATATTCTACTTTTATAAAAGAATAGAAGATGGTAATTTTTCAAAATATACAAGAAGAGAAAGAGATAAATTAAAAATGGAAATTGATTTCCAATTTATTTGAATTTTTCTAATAAAAACCGAGACGAAATTTTTTTCTTGCAAAAAGAGAAATTGAAAAAATAGGAAACGATTTCCATCTGTAAAGTTTTATTCAATTTTACGAGTTTACGAAAATTTCCAAAAATTACGTCCGTAACGTACTTTTCCAGTACTTGTCCTATATATACTATATATATTATAAAGCTAGTACAGTACGGTTGGTTTTTTATATTAAACGGACCAAATAACTACTATAATTAAATGAACATTGATATACATGAGCAATTTCAGGTACAAGTGGGATCATCTATTAATATTATTGGTTTATATTGATAAAAATCAGCAAAATTAGTCAAGAAAAATGACGAATATGATAATAGTGTAATAGCATACCTGGGTTTGGATCGGTCATCATTGAACAAAGTAACAATAGTACTTGAATAGTAAAAGATTGATTAAACTCTTTTACATAAAAAGAATTGCAGCAATCATGTAGAAGATTTATCTTTTGAAATAGTAAGCACTGGTAATCATTGATCTCTTATAATATCCAGGCTTATACTTCAATTATTGATGATATTTGGATGATATATTCTTGTTGTAAAGCTAACTTAGTATGAACATCAAATATTAAAATATGCAGTTTAAATATACAAAATTGTATAAAAAAATACACCCTTGGTTGCTTAAACGGATAATCTTTAGGAAACAAATAGCAAAGAAAAACACACCGCCGAGTATCTAATCAAAGTTGCAGAAACAGAGTTGAGTGAATCTTTTATATATTTGTATGAATTTTAATATAAACTAACAAAAAGTAGGGTCCGTGATTATCGCTTGCCAATAAAAAAGATCATCTCCAATAGGACCAGCACTACAAGATGACGGTGGCCACGTCCTAAATCGTGCAATTCATAGTAGGAGAAATGTAAAGAATAAAAAAGGACGATATATTAGTAATTAATTTGTCAAAAGTCTCAGCTGAGAAATTTGTAGTAAAAAAAAAATAAATGAAACAATAAACGTACTTTATTAATTATCTCGTTCTTCAGAATGAAAAAAAAATAAAAAATGAAGTTATCGTTAAAAGCTTTTTTACGCAAAAATACTTTATTTGTATCACGAGTAACATTTTAAAATTAATCCTAAAAGAGAAGTTAGAATTTTACTGATTTTTAATTTTACGTTTTGAAATTCTAATTTTTTTATCGATAATATCCCATTTTACAACGTATATTTTATCATTGATCCATCAAATAAGGAAATGTAATCATATGGATTTTGACCTTTTATAGTTAGCATCATTTACTTTCTATTTTATGAATTATTTATCGTCTTTGATACTGCGCTACATTTTTGATAAAATGACATACTGATGATTAATAGACATCATACATACTAGCACTGCACAAGATATCCCCCTTTTTAAGGATACCCACTTAAATTCAGTTGATTAGTCATTGCATTCCATCTTGGATACTCGCTTAGGATTAATTCACGTAACAAATATATGAAATTAATAATTAACAAATTTATAATAATTTCACAAATATAAAATATATACTGTGTTTAACCTTTCATTAGACTTCTAATTTGTTTGAATCGTTGGTTGGAAGTTAACTTTGTGCTGAGCTCAATGTATAATTAATATAGTGTATACATTGTATTATATATTAAGTGATTAGTCGTTATTCTCATTTCTAATAATATTCTGTAAAATAGGTTTCTATCGGGAAAATACACTGTATGAAAGAAACACTTCCTGATCCAAAATCATAATATCGTAACAAAAATATTTTTTTAAGTTTAATAAGGGACTGTACGACCCAAAAATCCTGACACCCATAATATCGACCATGATGATCTAAAATCTGACAATCAAAATCCTGACTGAGATTCATCAGATGAATTTGAGATTAGTTATTTTTTTAATTCAATTATTTCTAATTTTAGAAGATAAGGAATAAGTTTAGTAACCTAGTAATATATTGTGATCATCCTTTTAACTAAGATAAAAAATTTTTTCTTTTAATTTTTCAATAATAATATAATAACGTTAGTTAATTTGCATTATTATTAATAAAATTTGCAAACAATTTACATTGGTATTAACAAAATTCACAATAAATTAACCTGTTACTGCGTCACTGCATTTTTAAAGTTATATGCTTAATTGGAAATTTATATAATTTTTTACTTTAATTTTGACTGTCAAGATTTTTTAACTGTCAGAATTTGTGACTATCGGGATTTTATTTCAATGGGGTTTGGGTTTGTCAGAATTTTGATGATTTTATGGTTGTATGATTTTGTGGTAGATTATTCTTCTAAATACAATTATAGCTAAAAAACAACACGTAAATTTTTTATTTTTAAATATCAATTAAAACTTAAAAGAATTAAAAGGATTATTTAATAAATGATAAAATGATAAAACAAGATTTATTGCCTGGCCCAAAATTTATATACTCATTAATCAAACTAAATTTACATGACTTCATAAGTTGTGTACAAAACTTTTATGAATAATGTACGCTCTGCACGTGTTAAAATAATTGGTAAGACGAAAAGGAGTGGTGTCGAGTTAACCAAAGCGTATATTATGGTGATAAATTGATATTGAGTATGATTTAGATAACAAAACTATACTCAACTGTATAGTGTATATTATCGAACGAAAAAAGTATCATATTTATATTTTTTTATTTATAATTTTATACTCAACTGCCATATTAAGTTAAAATTGAAAAGTAAAAACAGAAAAATTTATTATTGGTTTTCCATAGCGACATAATAGAAAATAATAAATATAGTAAAATAATAAATATATGATAATTTAAAGTGTAAGTTCACCTATTAATGCATGGAATTCTATTGCGTCATAAATAGGTCCAAGTAATTGATCATTGAGTTCATCGAAAGAAGCATAATTACTATATAAAAGACCCAAATTCAAATTTGGATCATATTGTGTTATAAGAGGACCTCCGCTTGCACCCTCTCCTAAATTTAAGTCAAGTACGATATAATAATCATTTGACAATATTGTTTATCCTTGCCACATACAAAGAGTCTGTCCATTATTTGGACAATTTGGAAGATTACCTCCATACGGATAACCTTGAATAGTTGTTGGAACATAGGTTCCTAGTTGGAAAACCCAACCGAGAGCACCCGTATAATATTTTAATGGAAGATTTACCATATTAAAATTAAATAACACCATGCCCCAATCAAATTCATAATCATAATTATTAAGAAATTCAGGTGTTATTGCCATCTTGGCGATAGGAACTTTACCAAGTGGACCAGGTTGTCCATTGTCATATCCAGGAGAAAACATTACATTTTGAAAATATGCTTGAGCAAAATGATAATAAAGACAATGCGCTGCAGTAGCTCCAATATTTCCATCATCAGTATTAATTACACTAGCGGTACAAGTAAAATCTTCACCATTCAAGCTCATAAATAACATTCCAACGGGAAAATTTTTAGGTTGATCTACATTTGCTACCCCAGTTTTTGTATCATATTTTCTCTCAAAAGGTTGCATAGATTTCGCATCTTTAGAGGAGTCAGTTGTATTTTTTATAGGTTCAACACAACTTCTTGTTCTAAATCCAATATTTTTAGTGGTTAAAGGTTTAGCTTTTTTCATTTTTTCTGATGTCCAATAATTCTCATCATATTTAGGAATCGTCGGAAGTGAATAACTTGAATCGGTTTTGAAGATTAGCACAACCAATGCAGTTAAGAGATAAAATATAATTTTTTTGTTCATTTTTTTTTAATAAAAGTTAATTAGATAAAAAAATAAATATTGTAAATGAATAAATAAAATATATTGGAGGATTGGTTTTGAAAAGTGAAGATAATTTTTTAATTTTTTGGGGCTTTTTTATCTTAAAAAATATTTGACGATCATCTTTGAAAAGATTCATTCTATTTATGAAATGTTCATATTAAATCGTCCGGATTATAATTAAAAATAACAATGTAATAGCGGAATGGCTTGTATTAATAAATTTTGTTTGTTTTGTTTTTTTTTTTTTTTAACTTTTGCACTGATTAAAATTAGTACGAGTACATATGTAATATTTATATAGTCTAAGTAAATTAGTAGCTTATTATTCAGTTCTTTTCATTATAGAATACTTACTAACGCTTTTAAGATTCTTCTTAAAATGAATCGTTGTATCACGTGATGTAGTACCGTCGGGATTCGGTATTATGAAATTCTAATTAAAGCGATGATCTACAAATGACCGATTTACAGTATATCGATTGCTTCCTGCTTGACATAAATAAATAAAAAATAAAATAAGATCTACAAATGATCGAAATTATATTACCATATTGATAAAAATACAACTTTAAAAATTTCATTTAAAGATAATCCTCCGGAAATAATTCATAAATGCTTATACAAAATACATTACTAATAAAGAAGTAAACTTTTTCGTTAGCATTATAAGAAAAAACCAATCAAAATTTCATTAACCGGAACTGGATTAGCCACACAAATCTCTCTGATTGACCATTGGAACTTACAGAATAAATGAAATATAGGTGTAAAGAGCCAGGCACATGTGACTCGCTGATGAATAATTTAAAGTCCTAATCTGTAAAAACAGTCGATCCGCTTTTTATATTCCGTAAAAGGCCCATATTTCTAGAATTAATAACCTTATATTACAGAATTTATCGAATTATTTACATTTCCGTGAATGAATCCGTGAAAGACTTATTCGTATGGAGTTTTTACAGAAATAACGGATAAAATTTTTTATAGGGCTAAGCTTTATCCAGATATATATATATATATATATACATCTATATCGGGAAAATGAGGGCTATTGTAGATTTGTCAGAAAGAATAATTGCGCGGTAGTGCGTCAAATTTCCCTTCCCTTAAAGCATAGCTTCCGCAGGAGAAAAGCCATCTATTTTAGAAAAAATTTTCTGAAATTGATCACCCGAAAAAATTTATTTATGAGGGAGTTAATAATAATCCTCTGTCGCACTAAGTGTCACCCATAATCACCTTCATACTAATTTTTAAAAATTGCAAGTGATTAGCTGAGTTTATAAATGACCGGGAATCTTCGTTTACTTATTTCCCGATCTCATATTGATAGCCGGGAAATTACTAATTTTAGTTTAAAATAGTTATGTTTAAAATAGTTAATGTTTAATGAGTGACACGCTCCATGGGATTATCATTTATTTGGGAATAATGGGTTTTTTCCCGAAAGATCTCATTAAGTATATATGATGTAAAGTCATACTCCGCGCGAAATTGTGCCTGTACAACATTTAATGAAATATTTTATTTATTTATTTTATTTAATAAATAAGAGCTCCGAACGGGTCGGGTCGGGTTATTGACTTGTCCCGATCAGATAAACTTTTACAGAAACTTTAAAATCGAAACTATATCGTAACTATATCAAAACTTTATCATAGAACTTATCGTAAAGATTTAATACCATATTGTGACCAAATCTTGATTATAAGTTTACGCGGATCATATGTACAAAGTTGATGCATATTAAGGAAATCGTCACCGGATTAACCAGCTTGTGCAAAAATAGTATTGAAATCGAAAACATATAGTAAATGTATATTTAAACTATATTAAATGTATGTTTAAGTTATGGTAAACAAATATTAAAGTTGCAGTAAAGCTATAGTTTATTTATTTTAAAGTTTGATGTACTATAAACTTTATTTAGAAATATTAAATTGTTCTATCCTAAATCTAATCATACAAATTATTCTAATCTATAAATAAACCTAAAAACATAGATATAAATTTTCCTATAATGTTAAATGTACTTTTAACTCTATTAATAACATTTTTTTCAAAATTTCTGAAACTTACTAGAATTCTGTATTCCTATATTGGGAGCCATTCTTCTAAAAAAATAAATAAATAAATAAATAAATAAATAAAGGTTATTATGTATTAAAATATTTTTTAAAAAAAGAGTCTTTGAAAGTATTCTGAAACATACCTCCGGGGTTCTGGTAACTAGTGCTCCTAACGGGTCAAGTCAGGTCGGGTTTTAAAGATATACCCGATCTGACCAAAGTGAAAAGGTCTTGACTCTAAACCCGACCCGAATATAGTTTGACCGGATATCCCAGAATTTTCAAAGGAAAAAAAATGAGCGACCACCATTTTTTCGGCATTATAATGAAACCTTAATGAAATTTTAATAGATTTAATAGATTTGTAATATTGTGAAGCTTTGTTGTCATTCATTTATTATAATTAATTAGTATTTGTTCAATAACTTGGGTCAACCAGGTCGGGTCATGCGGGTCACCGGGTCATAAAAATTATTGAACCTGACCTGAGCTTTTAAGTCGGGTTGGGTCACATGACCTGGGTCGACCCGTTCCGTTAGAAGCACTACTGGTAACAAAAATGGGGCTGGTGTCTTATGAAAGATGAACAAAATGTTATTAAAACATCTTTCTAAATTTAGTTTCGAAATTATTTTAAAACTCACATTTATCCTTCATAATTCCATCGTGAAGTTCTAAGATCTTCACTTCTCACTCTTTTATTAATTTTTTTGCTGTATTTTGGCGTAACAAAGTGATTTCCGACATTGTACAAGTATCCGGTAGGTATAGCGAAAAAATTTCGATATATTAAAAATCTATTATACTGAATTTTAAAAAATTTTTCATGCTAATAAAACTAATATACACTATATTTTAATTTTTTCATCTTAATTTTGGCCAGAATTATATAAATCTTAAATTCTGGCTGAAGTTATATATTACTTATATACTCAATAAAAAATATTTTATATTCATTTTCATGACCTCTGACTTAAAACTAAGATTTACCGCATCACGTTACTTAAATTTTATTGGTCTATTATCACGTGATCCGGTTTATCGAATCATTTTTACTATGGCTGGTGAGGACCCCGGATAATTATAATAGAGGTCACATCCGCAGTACTAATTAAAAATTCAATGAAATATACATAATTTTTGCCGTTTTGATATACATTTTTATCATATGACCTTTATACGTATTGAAAATATCCTTTTTTATCATATGACTTTAATAATAATTTTTTTTTTTACAGAAAATACTATATTTCATATTAAATTTATTCGGCATTATCATTAATTGACTTTGTAGCAATAATCAATTATAATTTATCTATAACTGAATTAAAAAAATTATAGATTGCCATTTCTTTTTTTCCTACAATTAAAAATTCCATATTTTCAGTAAAATTTTCGCAATTTCCTAAATAATAAATGATCAAATGACTAGGAATATGTGAAAACAAAACATATTTTGGTTCATCTATTGGAAAACATCCAAAAATATTTGGAATCTGTTCTATATAAACACGTACTGAAATATAAGAAAGTGAATCAATACAGCTAGTACTATCAACATAAGAATGATAATTTGTTAATTTATGATACATAGCCAAAAATTGAACAAGGCAAATTTTTGATCCCAAAAGTGCAAATGCGTAACCACCATGATTGGCAGGATTTTCCAAAGTAATATTTGCAACGCTAATGCTTGGCAAAGATAAATAAATTATAAATTATAAATTATAAATTAATATAAATTTGCAAACAATAACCAAGAATTTTACCTGGGGCATTTTGATATCTTTACAATACTTCTAAACGTGTTCTATTTTGCAATCTTTTAGTTCTTAAATTTCCAGTTTTTGCGCCATCATTTTGAGCCAAAACAACTATATTATTAATCTTATTAGGATTAAGGTTTAAAGCTGAATCATGTGCCACATAAATCCTTTCCATTCTTTGATTTGAATAAGCTTCATATTTACGACGTTGTGAAATTAAATATGAAATATCCAATTCTCCTGATGATAAAACACCCGTTTGAAATATATCACTACTCTTTTGAATAATTTTTTTATCTGATTGACCATATATATAATCTATTTGACTTTGTTCTAAATCATCAGTTTTTTCTAAATTGAAAATATTGTATGTGCTAACCAACTCTGCGGCCTTGCTAATTTCATTTAACTCACAATCAGCTTTATTAATTTCTTCCAATCCATCATCATCTTGATTTAAATCATCATCTTGACTTAAATCATCATAATCTTGATTCAAATCATCATCTAGTAAATCACTTTCACAAGCTAATACATGTGTATTAAAAGTACTATCATAAAAAAGATTTTTATACCAGATAAATTCAAGAACTTTGGCAAAAGCTATTGCTTGCTCATGAGCTTCATGAATAATCAAATGTATTTCATCATCTGTAGGATATATTGTTAAATGAATATTATCAGCAATAGTATATTCGTAATAATTTGTTATATAACCTAATATAAACAAATAAATTAATAATAAGCATAATTAGAAATATAAAAAACTAATTTTATTTTCACCTTCAGCTGAAGTTTTTTCAGCATTTATCTTTGCTAATGATGCATTAGTATGAGTTCGAAACATATGCATAATTTTTGGAATACTTTGTACTAAATCTCCAAAAGTAAAATCATTACGAAATTACAGACTCAGCCCAAAAAAATGTTCACATGGTTCAGATCCATGAATCCATGTACATAGTGGAACTGACGAATAATAATCCCGATATGCTAATATTAATAAAATCTAAAACAATTTTGCATTAATATATTAAATATTATGTAACAAATATTATTAATAATAATACTTACTAATGATTCTGCCAAACTGATAAATATTTTAAAAGTTTGGGGAGCAAGAAAATTTTTTTTTATATCTATAATATTTGGATAAATTTTTTGAATGTGTTCAATATGATTTTTCCACATATGAAGAAAAAAATAAGCTAACATCGCCATTCGTAATCTTTCATTATGTGAAATTGTACGACTTTGATATGCATCAATCAATTCACCTAAAAAAGTAAATTTCGATTAAAATTATAAACAATTATATATAAATAAATAATATATTTACCAATTATAAAAAGATAAATAAATAAACCATCTTTACTATGATCTTGTGATTTATTTTGATTATACACTTGTTTTAAGAATGATGAACAAAAAATCAGGTATGCAGCACCGTCATCTTGACGATCTGCATTTTCTACATCAAGCTTGTATAATACACTATCAGGCATTTTACTAAGCATAAGTATTTGATCATATCTTGCAGTTCCAGTTCCTAATGTAAGTAATCGAGCACCAGAGAATAATGCATTTCTACCACTTTTTTTCCCATGTTTGGAATCTTGAATGCGAATTATTGGGCCAATATTAGGAAAAACTGGACACATAAACTTAATATTATATAGCTTATCTTCGAAAATAATTTTTTCTGTAGTTAATGTATTAATTAGCATTGATTGCGAATTAAATTCATTTGCTGCTCCATCTGATCCAAAAGAAATAATATTAATTTTCAATTGTGCTGCATATTCTAGAATTTTTTGATGATATGTAAGAATATCTGCAGCTTTTTCTTTATTGTTATTTGGAATTAAACCAATAACTATTGGTGGGATTTTGGGTAAAGGAATATAAAATAAAAAAATAGAAATCAATGTTTTATTTAACTTAAAATATAATTGAAAAAAATATTAATAATAAATACTTGGAGCAAATAAACTCGAACTTGTTTTGCTATAGCATTTTTGACCTTTATTTTATCAATAATTGCAATGATTTCTTTATAATTTGATGCTTTTGTTTCTGAAGTTGATAAAGTTGATCAAATAACACAGCCTAAAGTTGCTGAATAACTAAGACGTTCTTTTAATTTAGTGTTATCTGTCATAGCAGCAACTGGGCCATTGTAATTTAATGAATCGGCAAATCTTTTAAATCGCACCATATTCTCATAACAAAGTTCTGTATTAATAATTGCATCGTCTGATTGTGCATGATGTAATCTTATATAAAACATTGTTAAATGATAATACAGAATAAAATTGTATTATATTTGCAAAAATAAGCACAATTACCTAATATTACGAAGTATACGTCCAGCTAAATTTTACTTAAACAATTCATATCCTCTTGTTCCCAATAATGCCAAAATAGTTGTAAAATTTGCAAAGTTTTCGGTATATTGCAAATTTTGATTTCCTTTATTATTTTGTTCACGATTAGCTATTTCCAGCATAACTTTACAAAGTCCTTCAAAAACTTTTTTATTTTTGAATACTCCTTGCCGTCCTTTTTCTGCTAATATTGGCCAAAATGAGTCTTGCTTTGAATCTACTGAATAATAAAGTTCATTCAGATTAGAGTCATTTAAGTATTTGAAGATCGGATTTTTTTTAATTATAAATTTTGGTGTAAATTTTCGATTCTCTATTTTTGGAATTGGCAGTTCAATTGCATTCTAATAATATAATATGTAATGTAATTAATATAAAATTAAATTTAATAATTTTCATTATTTATAATTTTAATAAATACCATTAAAATTTTGTTACTATTTAACTTCATAAATTTTTTACAAATTCTTCCTTTATTTGTTGTTGTAATTTTACATTTTACACTTCGAATACAATTAGAATTAAAATCGTTGCGCCATTTTGCCCTTGCAACTAACTCATTCTCTAATTTGATTTTTTCATTATTTGTCAACATTTTCCAACTAAAATTTTTGTCAAATTTTATTGGAAATAATTCTTTTGCCAATACTTCAACACGTGGTGCACCACCATAATGTATAATTCCACCAATTCTTTGTAAATACTCTAAGTGCTTCTCGTCTCTCAATCCAATACATGAAATTTGGTGAGATTTTGTAGAATTTACAAAATAACTTGTAAGTGGACGTATTCCTTCTGTTAATAAACAGTTACTAGTTTTACTATGTTTTCTAAATTTCTTGAATTATAAGCTCGATGCAATCTGATTATCTTTCCACATTTACATTGAACTTCATTGCGAGTAATAATCTTATTAACTTTCGGATGATTTTGTAATCTTTTATCCTAATTAATAAAAAAAAATTGAATAATTATTAGCATCATAAATTAACTATGAATAGATTAATTATCTTGAATTCTGATACTTACTTTAATATGATCAAGTTTCGTTATTCGCTTTTGACTATTTTGCGTTTGCTTTTTCCTAACATTTTTTTCATTATTAGTAGTATACGATGATGATGATGATGATTCACCATCATTATCATCAACATTTGAGTTAAATTCCACTATATCAGAACCATCACTCATACATTTTTCTGATTCAAGAATATTGAAAGGTATATTTTCATTTTCATCAGATTGAACATCACGCATTTCAATATCAATATTTTGATCAGGTGAAGGTGGTGAATTTCTTTTGAAGAACAAAATGATCTGTTTGTGGTAAAGGATCATTAATATTCCACTTTCCACTTGATGGTGTCCACATTATCATAATAGGTTCATCATAAGCTTTAATTCGTGGTTCAATTAATTTATTATACAATGAACTAATTAGTTGAGAAACAGTTGGAGGATATATTGACATTATCGGTCTTTGAATTACTGATGCTAAGCCATATAATCCGATAATTGAACAAAACTGATGTGGCTTAGATATATAAGCAATTTCACTAATATATTCTCTTTCTTTATTATATGTAGTCGGCATATCTGAATTTTTGGCTGAATTTAAAGCTATATCGGAAAAATAATAATCTTGTTCAAAAATTTTTTGACTAAGATAAAAATTTGAAAATTTCATCAATTCTACAACCATAGCTAGTCTAAATTGTAATACTAACATTTGGTTTGCATTAAAAATTAGAGATATAGAATTTAATAAACAATCTCCATTAGAAAATACAGCTGCAGAAGTTAAATGTGGATATTGCAAATGGAGGATTTTTTCAGCAGTATTATCAATATTGGTTAATGGAGGAAGAGTTTTCGTGAGGAGTGTCAAAAGTAATAGAAAAGATACCGGATATATTAATAGTTGAAACATAATCTTGAACAGAATGAATATTAGGAGGTGGAGTTGTAGAGAGAAATTTATTAATGTTTAAAAGTTGTTCAAGATTTTTACTATTCATTTTGTGTTGATATTGATATATAATAACGTAAAAGATAAAGTTAAGACGCGTATGTGTCTTAACATTTTAAAAGTAATAAATGGTAAAACATATTGAATTCCTGGTAAGTTTATCATGGATAATATAAAGTAAATTTGATAAATTTATTACATTGAGGTAAATTTATCACAAAGTAAAAGATGGATTTTTCTCGTTTGCTATTTATATAATTATATTGAAAATTGATGTAACACTGCATATGATAATCCTAAAATATACGCTTTTATTAGAAAATTACATGTGACCTTAAAATTTTATCTAAAATTATATACTTTTTTTACTGTGACCTAATTTGGTGGTACTCTATTTTGGCATGTAACATTTTCTTAAAATACCCGTTTTTTCATATGACCTTTCCATTAAAAACGCAAAATTATATACTTTTTTTGCATATGACCTTTATTATAATTATCCGGGGTCCTACTGGGGTAGTTATGTAATATCACGTGATACTGAATTTTGACGGTTTTTATATCACGTGATAAGTTATTACACTAATATCTTACCCAGTATCACCGACACTTTTTCCACCCCACGTGATTTTGTAATATTCATCACTGGCATCACACCCCACCGCGTTTTCACTGTTTATATTTATCTGAGGGACTTAGTTTTTTTTTGCCTCGCAAAATTATTTTTTTCACATCCCTTTAAATGTCACCGGTCACGTGGGGTGGAATTCTAATTATAAAAGTGTCGGTGATACTGGGGTAAATTTACACTAATTTTCTGTGTAATGTAAACTTATGTAATACTTAATATAGAAGGATAAAACTTATATGGTTAGATTGACATGAACCGATCAACCAATGAAATTAACTGCGGGTTGTTTGATACGTGTTGATCAAAGATTTTAATTCGTTTTTCGTAAATTTCATTCCTATAACGTTGAACGATGTCTACATATGGCGGAGGTTAGTTTATCGGTAATGGTTCGAAAAATACACTAATTTCTCGTGATATACTAATAACTTCATTATATATCAGACGAAGTTTCGGCTATCGTTTTAGATGTTGGTTCGTGTTGGACCAGAGCCGGCTATGCTGGTGAAGATACTCCAAAGGCCGTTTTTCCAACTTCATATGGATACATTGAAGAGGAAAAGGAAATTCCCCCTGATCCGGATACTCAAATGGAAGATGTGATTCCTACTTCTGAAAATAAACCCGTTAAGAGCGTTGAGAAAAGATACATAATAGGGGATACAGGAGTAGCAGCATGGAGAGAGAATATGGAAATCAAAAATCCTCTTGTTGATGGATTAAGTATGTTGATAAGATATTTCTTAAATAGTTTAAACAATTGTCATTCTTCGATTTACATTTATATTCTCTAGTTCAAGATTGGGACGCGTTAGAAAAGATTTGGGATTATGCATTTGATAAAAGCCTAAGAATTGATCCAAAGGAGCATCCAATATTTGTAACTGAATGTGCTTGGAATACTAGAGATATTAGGGAGAGACTTACTGAACTTGCATTTGAGAAATACAATTCTTTAGCATTTTATGTTGCAAAGAACCCAGTATTATCAGCGTATCCTTTATAAAATCTACTTGAAAATGTTATGATTTTCATATATATTATGATTCTTTACACTACATTATTTGTATTCAGATTTGCAGCTGGTCGCCCAACTGCTGTTGTTATGGATTGTGGAGCAAGTAGTACGAGCTGTGTACCAGTGGTTGATGGCTATGTTCTTAAAAAAGGTTTGCGCGGTTATTTATATTATTGCATTTATATATTATTTGAAAATATAAACATAATTATTAATTTTAAGTAACAATCTAGGCATTTACAAACAACCAATTGCTGGTGACTTCTTATCTGAACAACTTTTACAACTACTACAACAGAAATTTGATATCAACGTCGTACCACATTATATGATTGCAAAGAAAACTAGTGTAGATCCTGACCAACCTGCAAACGTCGAATTTAAAGAACGGCCAAATACAACAGGCAGTTATCACAAGTTCATGCAAATGGTAAGATAACTGCAAATTGCAGAATTATTAGAAAAATGTAAGTTTAAACTCAAAGTTGATGTGAATTGATCGCTGATCATCAGCGAATATATTGGTGTAGAGGATAATGCAAGAATTCAAGGAATCGGTGTGTCAAGTATCTGAAGTTACATATAATCATTCGTAAGTTTATTTTTTTTAATGCAAGTTGTAATTTGTAATTTAAATTGTTCCTTTAACTGAATAGTAACTACATTACAAAAGTTCATAACAAAATTCTTTTTATTTTAGATCGATTAATACACGGCCAATGAAATACTTTGAATTTCCTGACGGATTTAATACATCGAACGGTTCTCTACGTTTTAGTGTGCCAGAGATTTTATTTGATCCAAGATTCATAACGCAGGTAAATTTTTATAGATTATGCTATTTTTATTTCTACACTGTTGAGGATATTTTAACCAAATAAATGATTATAATTTCAGCCTCAGGATGGACCTAATTTTGATACTTCTGCGTTATTAGGAATACCTCAAATGATTCATCAAAGTATTGGCGTCTGTGATATTGATGTTCGACCGAATTTATTAAATAATATTATCTTAACTGGAGCTACAACGTTATTACCTGGTTTCGCTGATCGTGTAAATCATGAATTATCCAGTATGAATCCGGGGGTAAAAATTAATTTTTTCTTTCTCGTAGTTCTTTCATAGTAGCGTTTTTAACATTTTAATTTGAATTAGCCGAAAATCAAACTTTATGCAGCGGGTAATACCATTGAACGCAAATGTAGTAGTTGGTTAGGTGGATCCATCCTTTCATCATTGGGAACGTTCCATCAATTATGGATTTCGCGAAAAGAATATGACGATTACGGGAGAGGAATAGTAGAAAAAAAATGCGATAACTGACTTCTTTTTCTATACTTATTTTTCATTTTCATGTACCTTTGAATAGGACAGAGGATGTTTGTTCTTTATTTGACAATTGTAAAAAATACATTTAATAATAAATAGAGATGATCACCAAATTAACCGCAGCAATCACTTAATTCCGGTAGAATTAGGCTAATTTTGGCATGTATCGCAAAAATACCCACGAGTGTTAAATAATTAAATAATTTAATAAAAATTCATGTAATGACGTAATTTCGAATGTTTCATCATTATGATATCATCTTAAATATCAAAAGTTATATAAACTACCTTCGAAGTTTTAAATTATTATTACAAAAAAAAAAAAAAATGTCTAATACCGAAAATACCGAAAATACCGCATATATTGCAACACAAGGTTCAAGTGCGCTAGCTGGTGTAGGTACAAATCCCACGGGAAAAAAACTTGATGAGAATACTGCTCATGTTGACCCACATAAGGGGAGTACTGCACTCGATAGTGTAGGTACTGTTCCTGAAAATATACAAAGTTCGTATATTTATATTTTTTTTGTTTGAGTAAAAAAAGTTTATTAAATTTTTCTATTATTTAGAAAACCCTGCCCAAACTCAACCGCAACCTAAAAATGCCACCGAATATGTTACTGGTGCTATAAGTAACGTATATACCACTGCTAAGGTATAATATAATATAATAATTCATTTAGCGTGTTCCAGCCTTACAACTTACAACTTCAGATTAATTGATTATTTTTATTCCAAAAAAAAAACTAAAATAAAATAAAATATAATGTAGGAAACATTGTTAGGAATTCAGTCTGCTTCAACCGCCAAATCTCAAGACCAAAAAGCTGAAGATGACAAAAATAAAAATCTTTAGTTAATATTATTTTCATTTTAATTAGTATTGACCAAAGTTGTATCATTTAAAAATTTAATTAAAAACCATATTTCGGACCTCACAAAGATCAATAATAGTGCATTCTATTTTTATCATGTACTATAATCACATGTTTTATGAAAGATAATTGATTTATCTAAAAAAAAATTTCTTTTTAGAGCCAATTTCCTGCTTGCTCAGACCTTCGATCATTTTATACGATAAATCATAAATCGAAAAAATCTCATTATCAGAACTTAAATCCAGATTATTAACATGAAATAACAAATAATGTAGATTACATCTTTTCATTCTTGTGTAATTTACATAACTAAGCAATTCTGAGACGTAATTGGTAATACTTGTCGAAATATTGTGAACAATTGGTATTAATATTGTACAGTACGTCTCATAAAATATTGGATAATACACCTTAATCTACTATCAAATTCTTCGCTATAATATAACGAATATATTTTTATAATTAACGAAAAAATTAGCTTATCAATATTGATCAATTCTGAAATCTACGATAAAAAAGGTTGTTTAATTTAAATACTACAGAACACTATTTGGACTTCGTTTCCATATAAACAAGTAATATGATCACATTCTTCGAAAGGCAGATAACTTATATTCGATAATTGAGTCCCCAGTTGTCTTTGAGATTGATAAAAATGATATTCCTTACAATCACGTAACTATCTAGTTTCTTCAAGTAATTCAATAAATCACCCTAATGGATTGTGAATAGATTTTCCAATGACTTTTATTGGAATTGGTCCTCCAATTCCAATCTTTCCAATATTCCAATGAATTTTTTATTCAAATTCTTTGTATTGGAAGTGGAAACTTCCAATGGGAAATTCTATTGCTTTACTGTGCACATTAGAGGAGCAAGCATAATTCAACCTCCATAAGGCATAGGCTAAATATTTCGCCCAATTCCCAAATTATAAGCGATCATCTAAATTGGCGAAATTGTTACGCCTATCAAATTTCGAAATGATAAAATGATAACGTATTACATTTATTTAGTTTCGATGTTTGTACTCGACAATGTCCTATTTTATTTATTTTTTTTTTTTACAATGTGTATGAGAAACACGAGAAACACGATAAATTAATATTCAAGTTTAAAATTATGTAAATATTTTTTTTTTATCATCATATTTCCGTATTTAAATTTTGCCCAATTCGCCACACAACCTTTTAAACATATGTGCTAAGTGTATTTTGGCCTGCCTTGAGGTTTTCATTTTTTATCTATCCATTTTTGGATATGATCGGCTATTATTTTCAAGTTTATATTATAAAGTGATTTGCCGCTTTAGACGATCCCTATACGTGATCATGATAAAAATTACAAAAATCGATTTGTCTACGTATCACCTGTAGAGTCTCCAAATGTCAACAAAAAGAGAGAGGGTAAATGTCATTGGCGCAGGCGTTGTTGGGTTAACAACGGGCCTGGTCCTTCAAAGAAATGGATATCAAGTAAAAATAATCGCTGAACATTGGCCTGGTGATTTTAATATTTATTATACAAGTCCATGGGCCGGCGCTATCATTAGGCCAGAACCCAAGCTTGACGAAAGAGGGAAAAGTTAGTTGTCAATTTTTTTTGTAATGGATTTGATGCAGGTTATCGGCTTGTTTGTTTTTATGTATTATTAATTTCTATCTTTATTAGAATTCGAAGAGGTTTCATATAAAACGTTATGGTCGCTCTCTTACATGAATGACACCGGTGTAATACGTATTCCAAACGTTGACATGTACACATACGATCTTCAAATTAATGGTGAACCATGGCTCAAGGGTATATACCATAAGGTAAATTTGAATTGATCTTTATTTTTATCGTTTACATTCATTTATCGATTGTTTCGTTTTCAGTTCCAGGTTATACCCAAGGATAAACTTCCAAAAGATGTAGAATATGGCATTTCTTATGTAACTGGTAGTTATTTTTTTTTTTAAAAAAAAAAAATTATTTTTCTTTTACATGTTTAAATGAACCAACCTTTTCATCTAGTTTCAATGGACGTTCCGAAATATTTAAGATGGCTTTTGAATCAATTCACAAATGCTGGTGGAAAAACCGAAAAAGTTCACCTTAATCACCTCAACGACGCGTTTGAACCTGGTGTAGATATCATTGTAAATTGTACAGGCATCAATGCACGAACTTTTGGTGGTGTGGATGATGATAAGGTATTCCCTATCAGAGGACAGCTCGTAGCCGTTTGGGCTCCACATGTAAAAATCGCAAAGACACTTAGTCACGGTAAGTAAAGTTAGTTCGTAGAATTATTAAAGCATTTTATTTAAAGTTTCGCACTTCTCTTTTATAGAGGATAACACGTGCACTTATATAATCCCTCGAGAAGATGGTGAAGTCATTCTAGGAGGAACTTTGGACGTTAATGAAATGTAGGTAATTTAATAATTTTATGAAATAATTTTGTTACTTATTTATACTTTTTACTTCATAATAGTGATGGAACACCAGATCCAAAAACAGCAGAATCAATTCTTAATCGTTGCGCCAAACTTTGTCCAGAATTACATCAGGGAAAAGGATTATCCAGCCTGCAAATAATAAGGCATACTGTTGGATTACGTCCAGCAAGAAAAGATGGAATTCGACTTGAAGCGGAAATAAGTCGAAATTCAGCTGGTAATAATGTAATAGTTTGTCATAATTATGGACACGGTTCCAGTGGTTATTCAAAAAGTTGGGGCTCAGCAATAGAAGTATTAGAACTTATTAAATCTGCTAGTCAAGCTGAAATATCTAAGTTATAAATTATGTTTATTTTTTTTTATTTTATTTTTTCTTTTTTAACTGTGCATTTTATTACTATGTAAATTTATTACTGTATAATTATTTATATTTTTTTAATACATGTATAAGTATTCTGTACAGGAAATTTACAGTATTAGAAAACATCACTCCTAAATAACTGTAGTTATTATCAATACTTCACCTTCGATCCTAAAATTATGTGATATGAATGCTGGCAGGACTTGATTGTAAAGGATTCAAAATATAATTGATGGACTGGAGTTATAATTTCTAAAGTGTAGTTCCTAATAGACTATAAATTATCTGGTTAAAGACGTAGTTTGGTAAGAACGAATACTAAATACAGGTGCTACTGGAAATAACGAACCTTCCGTTCCAGAAGGTTTGGGCCAAATTTGTGGTGCTGGCCAGAATTATAAATTAAATTTTCGACAAAATCAGCAAGAAACAAAATTTGCAGATCATTTCCAAAGATATATGATAACAGATAATAGATACTTATTACAAACTTGAATTCTATATGCATTTTTGCTTTTTCTACTTAAGGAAATACATGGATTTTGATTGCCAATTTTTTGCTAAGGTTAACTTTTGCAAATTTAAATATAAAAGAGCAAAAAATGGTATACAACCCTTTCTTTTAACTCTAATCAAACTTGTAGAGAAAGTATTTATTCCTATAGAAATTGACATGAACGGCAAAAACGGTCACGTGCCGGTGATTTTTTGGTGGGAAGCTCTAGATCAGAATATAGTCACATGAATGTTCGTTATAGAAAATATAATCATTATATCCAGTGAAATATTTATAAAAATCGGTTCTGGAAATTCCGGTTCAGTATAACAAGATTTTGGTACAAACAGGTTCGTTATAACAATATGTGGTTAGCTAAGTTGTATGAATTGTATGGCAATTCATCATACTATTTAGTGTAAATATAAATAAGATTAGATTACTTATATTTTTGAATAACTCGGGGACTATCCTTTCACGGCCGTCTTGTTTCTCTGTTTCTTAATCCACATTTCAGGATCGGGTCGTTTTTACATAAAGATATTAAAACAATTTCAAGTGAAACAAATTTGTATAAATTCTCGATTAAAAATTATATTTAATATGGATGTAATACATGCAAATATAAATTATTAGAAATTGAACTTAATAAGATATTTCTACTAATTCTAAAAAAAAATATATTTTCGAAATTCTTATCATTTATAAGAAATGATTGGTCCAAAATTTAACTCTATAATCGGACCAATTTTACCCTTCATACTTAATGAAAATATATTTTTAAAATTTTTAAAAAATTTTTAAAACACAAATTTAGTCTTATGAATCGGCTATTTCCCCCGGAAACAATTTTTAAATGTCAAGATTTGGCTTTTCTGCGTTTTCCTTTTTGATTACTTTCAATAGCTAATGCATTCTTTCGCTTTACCTATAAAAGTAGATCTTATTAATAATATTGTTTAGTAATAAAGTAATATTTGTTTATAGTCAAAAAGCTTACAGAATTTACTAATAATGATAGATTTGAATCTTTGATATTTGGATCCTTATCATTTGAGATTTCCTATTTATAAAATATATGTTCAATTAATAAAATCAGCCAGAAATGATTATTCCTATTTTAACTTATTACCTCAAAAGCTGTATTAGACTTCTGTTGACTTGGTTCAGACTGGCGTCGTTGTCGTTCTTCCAAAAGTTTACCCATAGATTTAGTCTTTTTAAACCTGTTGACAAATCAAGTTAAAAAAATAATTTATTTTTTAAAAAGAAAAAAAAAAACTTGAGTATAAAAAATTTAACAAAGGATACTGTGGATTAGAAGGGTCTATTGCGAAATGATGTGATTCGTGTAATGCCGCAAATCTAGAGTCATTAACATTAATTTCAAAATCATCGTCATCCTGAATAGAATCTTTTTTTATTTTTTTCTTTTTATTCTTTCTCTTCTCGTTTTTAATAATCTCTTTTAAATCAAAATGTTTATGAACCTCTTTCTCATCATCCATAACTAAAAGTTCTAATTCGGCCTTTTGTCGATCAGCCTCCTTGTGCTCTTCTTTAGAAAATTTGTGCGGTTTTTTGGATTTTGGTTTTGAAATATTCGAGTTTATTAAATGAAGATTGTTCGAATTTCTTCCAACATTGTCATCTATTTTTAAAATGTAAGAATATTTATATAAAGAAATTATTACAGATGAAAAATTAGAGAAAAATCTACCATCGCTTGTATTTTCCATTTGTTTCTCTTTCGCGTTCTTCTTTTCTTTGCGTTTTTCACGTTGTTTACGCAAATATGTCTCCAAGCTCGTTTCATTTTCAATGGCCTGTTGCAAATATTGTAAGTAAATAAAATGAATTATTATAATAATTAAATAATTATATTTATTATCAAACCTTTTCTGAATTCACGGCAGCCACCTCACTCAATCCAGGAGTAAATGTAATTTCCATTTCTTGATCTGTTTCCGCATTTTCATTTTCAATTTCATATAACAAATTTTTATACTTTCGCCTTGTTTCTTCTATGTCATCACCTGATTCCTCGCTGGACGAAGCAATATAATTTTTAAAATCCATATCATCAATATTTTTTTTCGATAATGTTTGACGTATAGTCTTTACACGATCCGGATCGTCACCATCCCAAGTCAATTTCACACTTGAATATTGCAATGCCTTTTATTATATAATAAGTACACAAGTATCGTGTTAAATTATACGAAAATTGAAACTTGTAGAGAATAAAATTTCTTACATCAGTGACAAAGTCAACAGGTTCATACATATCAGGCGCTTGGAAACATTCGTCTCTATAACCGATAAATTTTTATTGATATCTAATTGTATTTAACATTTCCAAACATATTAAATTAATTACTTTAATTCATCATTAAATTCCAAGTCATCGGGTATAAAGCGAAGATCAAAAGAATTAGACGTGCTTTCAAATTCTGCACCGTCACATTGTTGGTAAATATGACGAGCGGTTTCAACAGTATCGCAGTCAACAACAGCATAATAATATCTATACGAATAAATTTGATTAGTAATAATTTAAAATAGGTTTAATTAATTTAATAATGAACCTAAGTCGCTCCAATTGATATTTTCTTAATGCTTCCGAGTCAAATTCCTCTCCATTATCATTAATGATATGGTCGTTTAGGTTAATCTCCTCATCATCACGATCAGACGAGGCTGATGTTGATTTAAAAATTTCCTTTGGTGGGCCTTCTCGTGTTTCCTATAATGTAAAAATAATTGTAATTTTGAAAGTCATTTAATCAAAATGTTAAAAAAAGCTACCTTTTCCATGCGTTCCTTTCCAAATTCTGAAGGATAGATTTTTACAGAAAATATAATAGATCCATCTGGTATAAAACCACTGAACACTTTCATAAGGTCAGATGCTTTTACATTATCCCAATCAAGGTTGACTACAGCAAGTCGATGAGTCTCATCTCCTAATGGAACCTGCTCGTCTGATTCACTGGATCCCTGTTGCTCAACCGAATTATTATTTTTTGAATAAACATATTCCTCTTCGTCATCAGAAGATGATTCAAGAACGCCTTCACCTCTAGCAAAATCAAGGGTTGACAAATCAAAATTTTCTTCATCTGTTTCTTCTTCTGTAGTTGCTTGATCTTCTATATTGATTGTTTTTGAAGATTCACTTTTAAATAAAAACTCATCATCTTCTTTTAAATTATAGTATCTTTTTAATCCTTTATCCGCTTTATCTGATGAAATCGGCTTTCCGTATTTGTCAACCTTAACTTGAAGAAAAAAAAAAATGTTATATATGCGAACTTTTATGACTATAATGCCTGTCTCTTATACACATCTAGATGTGTATAATTTTAATCCTTTATCCGCTTTATCTGATGAAATCGGCTTTCCGTATTTGTCAACCTTAACTTGAAGAAAAAAAAAAATGTTATATATGCGAACTTTTATGACTATAATGCTTAACTATAAAAAATAAGACTAACGAGCATCGCTAAACTCTTCGCTGGTTAGCATATGAGCGAAACGATCGTCTAAAGCAATCTTCACGTCCTTTTTTTTCGGACGAACAAAACGTGGATCCTTTCGCACATGGGCGAAACGTGGATCATCAGATATTCTGTTATTTTTTGATTTCACTTTAATATTAGGTCTCGAAGAACTATCCGTCATGATTTTTTTTTTTGATCTAATCTGGGATCGACGGATTATTTTATGAATATTGTGTAACACAAAGCTAGATGACGCGTACAGTAATGCAGTTACGCAAAGGCATAAAAAATTTCGGTTTGAAATCTATTAATCCAAATATTTAATTCTCATGGAAGAAATTGGCATCACGATCAAGACTGAGGTTTGTTCACCATTTCGATATTAAAAAGCAATTACGCGAACTATCTAAGGCTTACGAAAACGCGCCCTATACTCGTATATACACGTTTTTTTTTTTTAATTAAAGGACACGATTCCCGTCATTACGACAAGCGAACTGCTTGAAGACTTGACTGAAGAAGATTTATATTCAAAACTTAAAAAACTTCAGAGACACCTCGAGTTTTTAGAATTACAAGAAGAGTACATAAAAGATGAACAAAAGAATTTAAAACGTGAATTGATCAGGGCTCAAGAAGAAGTCAAAAGGATCCAGTCTGTACCATTAGTGATTGGACAATTCTTGGAACCAATCGATCAACACACAGGAATTGTAGGTTCTACGACGGGATCTAACTATGTTGTTCGAATTCTCAGTACAATCGATCGTGAACTGCTAAAACCGTCCTCTTCAGTAGCGCTTCATCGTCATTCAAATTCATTAGTTGATGTATTGCCTCCAGAAGCTGACAGTAGTATTGCCATGCTTGGATCAGATGAAAAGCCTGATGTAACTTATTCAGATGTTGGTGGGCTCGACATTCAAAAGCAAGAAATTCGAGAGGCAGTAGAATTGCCATTGACACATTTTGATTTGTATAGACAAATTGGGATTGACCCTCCAAGAGGTGTCTTGTTATATGGTCCACCAGGAACTGGCAAAACTATGCTTGTCAAAGCTGTTGCTCACCATACCACCGCTTCTTTTATTCGAGTGGTTGGTTCAGAGTTTGTTCAAAAATATTTAGGCGAGGGTCCTCGTATGGTTCGCGATGTGTTTCGATTAGCTCGTGAAAATTCACCATCCATTATTTTCATTGATGAGATTGATGCAATTGCTACCAAACGATTTGATGCACAAACCGGTGCAGACCGTGAAGTACAAAGAATTCTTTTGGAATTATTGAATCAAATGGATGGGTTTGATCAAACATCAAATGTGAAGGTATTAAAAATTAATTTTGAGTTAATCTTGTGAATTTTATATTTTAAAATTGTTAAGAAAAATTTTGATTTTATTTTATAGGTCATTATGGCCACAAATCGAGCCGATACATTGGATCCTGCTTTGCTGAGACCTGGGCGTCTTGATCGAAAGATTGAATTCCCTACTCCTGACCGACGTCAAAAACGGTTAATATTTTCTACAATCACCTCTAATATGAATCTCTCTGAAGAAGTTGATCTCGAAGATTGTACGTATATTTGTTTTTAATTATTATAAGTAATATTATTCCTGACTTATTTAATTTAAATTTTTCTATAATAGTCATATCTCGGCCAGATAAGCTTAGCGGTGCCGAAATTCACGCTATTTGCCAGGAGGCTGGTATGCAAGCTGTCCGAAAGAATCGTTATGTTATTCTTAATAAAGATATAGAAAAGGGATATAAAGCCAATGTTAAGAAAGCTGATACAGATTTTGAATTTTACAAATAAAGCAATTCCAGCATTACAAATAACCGGGTCAATGCATTTAATATTTGTCATAGTTTATAGTTTATTTCAATTCTGTGAAACTAGACTTCTTTCAAGGTATAATTATATTGTATTAGAATTGCTTTTCTGGTTTTGGTTAGTGTATAATTTCTAAGATATAATTTAAAGATTTTACAGTAAGAAATATATTATTTTCTTTTTTTTAAGAAAAAAAAATTCTCTTCTTAATTAATTCATAACAACTAGGAAATTCTTAACCCGTTTGTTGTATTATCATGTGCATAATAGAAAAATGGTAAATACAATGGACCTGCGTAAATGGAACACAAAAAAAAGCCGAACCCGAAGTTTTATTTATATTATTTATATAGACTTATTGTTATTATAAAGATCAATACCAAATTAGATCAAGAATCATAAGATATTGACATCAAATAAGAATATAGATTATTGTTACTGTATGCTGCAAAGCGCAAAGTCACTAACAATGGAAAAGTACCTAATAAGAATAAAAAGCTAGAACAATTATGTTACATAAATTTCCCTTAAGCAAAGACTGGAATCAAAGATATTGTTGATTGGGGTTGTACTCAGTGATGATGATGATAAAGGGGCGCAGGAACATACAAAAATTTGTATTTTTCACTATTGTTGGCTAATGACCGCCACCTTTTATTGGCCTTCTTTGTACTTTATTTGGTCATATTAATTGATATGTGAAACGAGTGTGAAACATTCATGGCTGGACGTCAAGATTTCGGCATAAAGTCTTTTAACGTTTGATTGTACGGACTGTAGTGCTGAATTAATCTAAAGCTTATCAGTAATTATGTATATTGTCAATCCTATCGATTCGAGTTGTGGTCAAGAGGAAACTAGTCCTTTTTTTTTAAGTTTCCCCTCACTTCTATTTTTCCCTGCACTTCGCGGGAGTTCGAAGGCAATTTTTCGAAAATAAAAAAAAAAAAAAAATATTTATAAATATAAATATCTCGCAAAAAATTTTGAATAAATAATTTATTTATCTTACATATATTATAAATTTAAATTGAACCTTATTTAAATTATACGTTTTTATTAATTTAAGAAAATTTAAGATTAATTTTTTACGAACAGGAACTCTCCTGAACAGTAAGTTTCATCTCACGCATAGTTTTGTATTTTTAAATGTTATTGTTGGTTCAAAGTTCTTTTATTTGTATATAGTTAAATTTCATGCTGTAATTCGTAATTGACCAAAGTTCATTTCGTTTCATCTTGTTGCAGATACATTATATAGACACTTATATTTATCCAAATTATAGAAGATAACCATAATGAGCGATTCTAATAGAAATAATATCAGAGTAGTGTGCCGTTTTCGGCCACAGAATTCTCGTGAGATAAGGGAAGGTGGTGTTCCCATTATAAACTACGATGATAATGGAGACTCATGTCGTATGGAGGTTAGTACCAGATTTTTTTTTTTTTTGATAATACACTTTACTTATAGAGCATTAAGATAAACCATAATAGTGAATTTTAAATTTAAATATCGTTATAATTTTGACAACGTTCAATTAATTCAATTCACATAACGAGTTTTTATGATCAGAGGATTACCTAATTTGACACGTTCAACATCGAAGAAGTTATAAATAATTGACTTTGATTATTACTTTCGTTGTTCTCTTATATAACAGGGTAAAGAATTTCAAGGAAATTTTACATTCGATAAGATATTTCCTCCAGAAACACACCAGAAATTCTTTTTCGATGAATCCATAAAACCCATTGTTGATGGTATTTAAAATAATGATATTATTTGGTTTTCCATTCAATGACTACTTTCCTCATAATTTGTTTAATTCAAATAGATGTTATTGGGGGTTATAATGGAACTGTATTTGCCTACGGTCAAACGGGTTCCGGTAAAACACATACCATGATGGTTCGTATAAATAAATGCATTTTATGAATATAATTTAGCCCTAACTGACGTAACAATTTATTTATTAGGGAGATATGGACAACGAAGAATTTAAAGGTCTTATTCCTCGTATCGTGGAACAGATATTTCACAGTATTATTGACTCCCCATCTACAATGGAATATACCGTAAAGGTTTCTTATATGGAAATTTATATGGAGAAGATTCGTGACTTACTTAATCGTTTGTATTTAATTTACTTACTAAAATTTTTTTTTTTTTTTGGTAAATGGAGTGAACTTTATTGATTTTAATATATTATATATTTGTTCTTGACGTTTTTTAGCCCAAAATGACAATCTTCCTATCCACGAAGAAAAGAATAGGGGTGTATACGTAAAAGGTCTTTTGGAAGTATACGTCAGTTCCGTACAAGAAGTGTATGAAGTAATGAAACGGGGTGGTAACGCTCGTATTGTAGCATATACAAGTATGTTATTATTTCTTACATATTATTTATACTGTGGCAATCTAAATAATAAATGCATTAATTATAGACATGAATGCTGAAAGTTCACGATCACATTCGATTTTTGTTATCACTGTAAACCAAAAGAATCTCAATGACGGTAGTGTAAAAAGTGGTAAATTATCACTTGTCGATTTGGCAGGTTCCGAAAAGGTTTGTAAGTTAAATTGTGATGTCCCAATAACATACATATATTGTCAACGATATGCAATCAATAATAAAAGAGAATCAGCTAGAATACACAAACAATCACAGAAAAAGATCTCTTTAAGAAAAAAATTATGATCTATTTCCAAAGAAACGCATAACTAATGTATAAATTCTTTACATTTTACTTATATAATATAAACGTATATTTTGGAAAAATAGGTCGGTAAAACGGGTGCGTCTGGACAGACTCTAGAAGAAGCAAAAAAGATTAACAAATCCTTATCTGCGTTGGGTATGGTAATTAACGCTCTAACAGACGGAAAGGTAATATCGAATAATAATAATGATAATTTAATCCTACACTAAAATATGATTGATATTAATCAATTACTTTTTCCGTTAAAAAGTCTACGCATATTCCATATCGTGACAGTAAACTTACTAGAATTCTTCAAGAATCTCTTGGTGGTAACTCCAGAACAACTTTAATTATAAATTGTTCTCCATCGTCCTTCAATGAAGCTGAAACACTAAGTACGCTAAGATTTGGTATGAGGTGTGTAAAATCATTTATAATGTTATATTCATATATTTTTCCCAATGTATAACAATAAATGCTAAATCCATTCTATCTTTGTAGAGCCAAGAGTATTAAGAATAAAGCCAGAGTCAATGCTGAACTAAGTCCCGCTGAGCTTAAAGCACTTCTCAAGAAAGCTAAAAATGAAGCTGTTAGCTTTCAACAATATATCTCAGCCCTTGAGGGTGAAGTTGGTGTTTGGCGTTCTGGTGGTACAGTTCCAAAAGAAAAATGGGCTAGTATGGACAAAGCTGGTTCGACTTCAACCCAACCTCCAACTCCAACTACACCGTCTAATCCCGCAATAGAAGCTGCAAAGAAAGAGGCAGATTCTCGACCAGGAACTCCTGCACCAATTTTAGAAAAAGATGAGCGAGAAGAATTCTTAAAACGAGAAAATGAGCTTACAGACCAAATTGCTGATAAGGAAACAGTATTAGCAGCTCAAGAGAAAATGTTAAATGAATTGAAAGAAGAGCTTGACTCTTATAAATCACAAGAAGAGGTATTGTAATTATATGGAAATTAATATTACTTATTGGATTTAATTAAAAGATGTTCTAAAAGTTTTGTCTTTTAACAGAAAAACAAAAAGATGGAGACTGAACTCGGTGAACTCAAAGTGCAATTAGAAAAAGTCGCCTATGAAAATAAAGAAGGTGCTATTACAATGGATAGTTTGCGTGAATCTAATTTAGAGTTATCCGCCGAAGTAGATTCACTTAAGGTAAAATTGAAAATTTTGTTCTGTTATAAAATTAGATTATTTGTTGTATTAATTCATACTATAAATACGATAACTTATCCTTATTTAGAAACAACTTTCGGAACACAGACTTTCTCAGAAAGAAGGTGATAAAGAGCAAAAGAAACAAGAGAAAATGGCTGCTATGCTAGCTGAGCTTGACCCATCAGGTGTTATTTCGAAAAAAGAACAGCAAATTCGGGATACGTTGCTTAAACTTGAAACGATTGGTGATAACAGCTCCCCACTTACGATGGAAGAACTTTCAACTTTACGACGTGAATTGTCTGAATCAAAGACTTTGGTTACACAACATGAACAAACAATTAATGAATTACATTATGAAAATGAACATTTGACAAGGAAGAGAGATGAACTCGAAATTCGTTTAACCACACTTGAACTCGAATATGAGGAATTGTTGGGTAAATAATAAATAAACTGCTATTTTATTTAGAACTATATATCGAATTATTAATCTTTTTTTATACATATATGTAATTTAGATAAGACAATTGCTGAAGAAGAGGCAAATAATAATATTGATATAACTGAGACAATAGCAGAATTAAGAGTAGGTTAACGTTTTATGATTATTTAATTTCGATATATGATATATATTATTTTATAATTAATAATAATTATAATTTTGTTAGGGTAAATTGGAAGCACAATTCGTTGCCAAGAAAGAAGTTCAACAAAAAGAAATTGATGAACTAAAACAAGAATTAGAAAAGAAGAATGAAGAATTACATAAACTTAATAGGTTTGTTGCGAATTCGTATTAAATTCAATTTGTGCGAGTTTACTAATATTTTAATTGACCTTTATAGCGCTCTTGCTGAATTGAAAAAAGTTAATGAAGATTTACAGGTAAAAGACATTTCTAAATAAAACGAGCAAGCCTTTAAATTTGGTTACTTACCCTTATACAACGTCCATTTGTAAAAAACGCAGACTGCGATCAGTGATAAAGAGTCTAAAACGGAGGGACAAAAGAATGTTGCAGATAAAGAAAAAGATATGGAACGTATCCGAAAGACAATGGCACAACAATTGGCCGATTTTGATGTCATGAAGAAAGCTCTTATGCGCGATTTGCAAAATCGTTGTGAAAAAGTTGTGGAACTTGAAATCTCATTAGACGAGACAAGAGAACAATATAACAACGTTCTACGTAATAGCAATAATAAGGCACAACAAAAAAAGATGGCATTCTTAGAGAGGAACTTAGAACAGCTTACAAATGTACAAAAACAAGTAAGCTTTTATGTATTTCAATCGCATTATTATGAGTTTTGTAATGAAAATTTTATGCTGATAATTATTTTTCTTTTCAGCTTGTTGAACAAAATTCATCACTTAAAAAAGAAGTAGCCATCGCAGAGCGAAAACTTCTTGCACGTAATGAACGTATCCAGGCTCTGGAAGCCTTATTGCAAGATGCACAAGAAAAATTAACTACACAAAATCAGAAGTAAGTTAGGCCTACATATATGTATATATTGTGTATTGTAATTCTAATTGAAATGTTGCTAACTAAATCTCCTTTTAAAAAGATTCGAAGCACAATTACAAGCAGTGCGAGAACGATTAGAACAAGCAAGATGTACGTTTATTGTTTTATCTCGCATAAATTTTTCTTAGATCATAACTAATTAGCGATTATAAAATTATATAGCTCAAAAATCAAGTATTGCTTCCGGCCTCGGTTTTGGTCGCATTGCCAAACCACTTCGAGGTGGTGTACCAGTCACAGCAGAGTATGAATCTATTTTATCTCATTTTAATTAAACGAATTTCTTTTCGTTATGATAGTTATTAATATGCCTACTTTTTCTTTTTTATAGAAGGAAATAATTCATCTCCTTAAAAATATATATATTTTTTTATTATAATAAGTCCAATCACGGGCAAACGAACGTGGTTTCCAAGCCTTTGTCAGTAATCGTAATAATATGCTATAATAGTTTTATTTTTATTATTATATAGTTTATATACAAACCTTCTTACCTTCTAAATTGACCATTATTCCGTTTACAACAAAGTAATATTATACCTCCATCCTCTTCATTATAAAAATCTTGTACGTGTATTTTATTTTTGGAAATTCTAGAAATTGTATTTTTTTTCGGGTTTTTGGTTATCTAAATTTGGATCGAAATAAATAAATTAAGGTACAAACTTATTAAATCAGATTTTTATTTGTCAATTTTTTTTTTAATTCGCTGTTTCGTATTAAATTACATTAAATATATGACATTGAGATATGAATAAATAACGAGAGATTAAAGTAATCTTCTTGTATTTAGATTTCTATAATTAAATTATAGATATTTATATTACAAGGCATTTTACTATATACATAAAAGAAAATTCGAAACAAAAATTCTTTGCAAAGAAATTAATTTAAACTGATAAATATAAGAATGCAATGATATCATGGAGTAGTAGAATCGGAAGTTATTGTCGTTGCTGTAGAAGAACTCTCTGCATTATAGTTATTTGGATTATTAACTTTTGAATTTGATTTGGCATTCACTTTGTTCGCTTTTGTAGAAGTTACTGTAGATGAAGTAGAAGAACTTCGCGAACGAACTTCAGACAGGCCTTTTCTTTTGGGGGACGAATCGGGAGACGATGATGATGATGGAGAATCTTCAACATTCTTTACAGATATTAGTGGTTTTGTTACGGGAGATGGATTCTTTGAAGAACTATTTGTTACATTATTTGTAGGACCATCTTTAATCATTTTTTTTTCTTTACGACGTTTACGCTTTTCTAACAATTTTTGAACTTCCTTGATAATTGTTTTATTCCCTTCATTAGCTTTAGTCTTTTGTTTTTTCGTTTTTGTTTCTGATTGTTGAGGTGGTTCTCTCTTTGTTTTTTTTGATGACGATGTACCGCTGCTAACAACTGTTTCATTAACTACCGCTAATTTTTCTTCTTGCTTATTAGTCTTTTTGCCCTTTGATTTTGTTGTAGCATTCTTTCTTGTTCTTTTAATTTGTTTATTTATAATTTTGTTTTCATTATTTTCAGTTGTTCCAGTAATAATAGAAGTGGAAGTAGTCATATTATTATTTGATTGTTCATTTTTAAAAAATTGAAGAATATTTTCAGGTGGATTTGTATTCGTTCCAGCACCAAAAAATCCGGGAATAGTATTTTTTCTTGAAATCGCGTAAAACTTCGGTTCAGGACGTTTTTCAATAGCCATATGTTCTAAAAAATCTGCAGTTTCTGATACTACAAAATTTTCTAAAGCCATTTCATCATCTAAATGTTGTTGATCTGATGAAAAATCATTCGTATTAATGATTTTTTGATCATTTGTTGTTTCTTTTGGAGGATTAATTAAGTCAGGAAAATATATTACGTTATTTCCTTGGCCTTTTTTTAAAGGTACTTCAAATCGAAGTATTGCCGTTGTTTCTTTAAAATCATTTTGTGAAATCGTTGAATTTGTTCTTATAGGTAAATCTTCCATTAACCTTCTTTTAACAAATGAAAATAAGATTTATTTGTTAGGGAATGTGAAAGAAGGAATTTATTAAATTTTGGTGGCTTAGTCGGCGTATTACTTAGTTTTTGTTTCACAAAAAAATTGTGATTTGCATGATCATTTTAACAAATCATATTCAAATGGCATTTCAGCCAAAACAGAATAATACCAACAACATTTCATATTATAATTATTATATTATATATTATACGAAGATAAAGATTTAAAAGAAAAAATTTAATGATAAAAATTGAATAAATTAGATGAGGCAAATCACTTCATATTTTTTCTGAATTCTGATCAGGAATTACTTCTTGCAAGAACGAAATCATGTCTTTGATTTCTTTTTGAGAAGTATGATGACCCATACCATTGTAAGTTTTAAATGTTACGGGATATCCCCTTGATTTAATAAGTTCATATGATAACTTCCCGATTTGATAAGGCAAAATCTTTAAACGAAATTTAATCAGTCATTATTTATTATGTCGTAAATCCAAATCGAAAAATAAAATACCTCATCACAGTCACCATGTCCCAAAAAAATAGGTGTATTCTTATTTGCGTCAGTGGCCATCTATTAATATAACGAGTAACTTAATTAACTTAAAATGAAACTTAATTAAATTTATACGATAATATACAAGGAATCATACGGTGAATGTTTTTTCTTTCAGAGGAACATATCCACTCAGACTGTAATAATAAGCGTATAAGTAAAAATCCTTAGAATAAAAATTTTAAATTAAATGACGGTTCCAATTTACCCTATAATCCCGGCGAAGGGGTATTCAGATAATAATCCAATAGTGATTCCAACTGCCGCTCCTTGGGAGAATCCTCCAATAACAATACGATTTGAAGGAATACCCGCGTCAATTTCATCACGAATAAGACGATTTACTATATAATTGAAACCCAATTTTAGATTCTCTTTAAAATTATTGTAAAGTTGAATGATATATTACCTGAAGCAACAGACAGTAATACTCCTTCATCGTCTAATCTTTGTTTAAGGATATCTTCAGCATTCGACAACGCGTAAATGTCATACCTTAATAAAAGAATAAAATATTATCTCCATACAAAAGCCATAATCAAACACAAATACCAATTAAAATACCATGCGCGCATTCTAGCACCACCATTAACTGCTACTGGTCGAATAGGACTAATTAAATAACATAGAACGGTTAGAGAAAGGAAGAAGGGAATCAAATATAAAAAACGAAATGCTGAATTACGCGTCTGGAAGAATGAATTTGACATGTTCCAATGTGTAGCCCATTTCTTCTGTCACAGGAGCCCAACCATTTCCGCTATCACCCAAACCCTACGTGAAAAAATATGAAAAAAAAATATTTTTTTTTTTTTTTAAGAAAAAGGAGATATTTATAGCATAAAAACCTTACGTGCAAAAAGAACACAGTAGCTGTATGCTTTTTACGAGCATTTTGAATAACTTTAGTCAAATTTGAAGCCATTTTTTTTATTTTAAAAGAAGTGTTATCGTTAAGTGCGTGTCATGTGATTCGAGCATTAACTTAATTTGTTGATCGATAAGTACTTTGATTGGCTAAAATCATAAATTGATTTCGTTCTTACATATTATTTTGTGGCACACCATTTAACCAAAATTAAACTTGTTACTAGAATTAAGAAAAGGTATTAATTGAGAGTAAATTTAGATATAAATATTGCCATATTGGAGAAATAAAAAAAAAAATCTATATACAGTCAAGTTTCTATAAATGCACCCATCCTCTTGGAATTGGAAAAAAGCATGCAATTATAAAGGGTGTGCATTTATAGAGAATAAATAATTAGAAGTTATATATATTTGAGATTGAATCAAAGTGTACATCTAGGAAGAAAATGCACTTATAAGTGGTGCATTATAAAGAGTTGACTGTAAAACTATATTATAATTTGTATTTTGTAATACTATACAGTCAACTCTTTTTATAATCACACATATGTAACTATATACAAAACATAATTTTTATTGTATTTTAATAAAGTTTTTTACTTCAAATCACCACATTCCAAAAAATCAACAGAAATAAGTTTTGTATACTGATAAAAAGCAAAAAGAGTGTTAACAACACTTTGGAAACAATCATCTGTAGTTTCATCCATTATTATTGCTATAGGTTTTTGCTTAAAGAAAGTTTAGAAGTAAAGAAAAATGGCTATTAAAAATGCATAATAGATGAATTTTACAAATTGTAGGAGCTTTGAGAATTGCATCATCCTCTTTAAGGTACTTTTTATAAATTATTTATCTTTTCTAGAGGGATGTTTGCAAAGAAAAAAATTTTAATTAAATCCTTTATAACCTCTTTTTTGAATTCAAATGCCAAAATTGTAACTTGATCTTTTCTTCTTGCATTATTTTCATGAATTTACTTTTTTTTAATATGACTCTTTAAAAAGCAATGTCCATCAATGGTAGACTTTGATCTCTACTCAATTGAAAGGTTGCAGAAGTTACAAAATATAATCCCATTATCTTCTCTAAAGATTTCAGAATATTAATTCATTTAAGTAGTTATAGAAACTGTCTTTTTGTATTGAACTGGCATAATTAAAAGATTTGAAATTTCATGACGAGAAAATGCATAGTTTTTTTTTAAAATTCGCTTCTAAATTTTATATGTAAAACATGTGAATTTTATGTGAAATCATGTAATTATGTGATATTTTTATAATTTTGTAAATTATGTAACACTCTATAGTAAATAAACATTATTTTTTAATTTATATATTTAAAAGAAATTTTGCAATTTTCTGTAAATCACAGAAAATTATTGTTCCTGCCATATACTCCAAGAGAAAAGAAGCGTGTGACATATACCAAAATCATATCAGGTTCTGGTTCTGATAATTTCTGGTTTATGTTACTATCCCTTAATAAAATTTAAGAAAAAGTAAGGTAAAAATCATTAGTAAGGTGACTTTTATTATAAGTAAGCAAGATCCTATTCCAACATTCCAAACTCCATATTTAACCCAGTTTTTCTGTTAGTTGACTAGTGATCTTAGTAGCATCTCAAATTTCAGTTAAAATAGTTTAACTTCAAAATAGACAATTAATTTTATTTAGAAATTTTAATGGTTTTAATGATGTTATTTTCAGCTAAATATTTATCTGAACCTATAGAACTAATTTTTAATTATCTTTAAACAAATTTCAAATTTATAATTTGGTTTCATCTTTAATTATTTTTACATTTTAAATAAGAAAGAAGAAGGATTACAATTGGATTTGTATTCTAACTATTTTGATTTTTTGTGACTATTATATATCATAGGTTATAGTACCTTAAATATCTTGCAAAAATCAGAATTTGATCCCATATTTTCAGATACTAAACAAAACTTAAAAATTCCATTTTTTGCAAATATTTCATGATTTACCATCCAATTTAAGTAATTTGAAGAGTCTAATGAAAGCTATCAAATAAAAAAAAGATAACTCAAATTTGATCACTGAATTACGAGATAAATATAAAATACTTCCTGGATACTATATAATTTTATAAAATTTTTCAAAAGGAGTATTATACATAGAAGGGTATTATGGTCTGTGATATATAGTACTTTTATCAAATAGATTTCTTTTTGCTTTTTTCTTTTATTTTATTTTTATTTTTATTTTTATTTTTATTTTTTTTTTACTTTACATTATAGATAGATAGAGCTTATAGTTAGTTTAATGAATATCAATAAGTTAAGATCAGATTTTCAGTAAGATGTCCTATTAATATATTTATTTCTCATCCCATAGTCAGTTTTCTTATTCTGATACATTTAAAAAACTCACTTAATAATAGGCTATTATCTTTAATATAATAATAAATACTAAGAAAGTAGTTAAAATTTGAAGAGTTTTCCAGTTCAGTTTTATTATTATAGTGTTAGCTAGATAGGATCCTGAACATCTCTTATATAATTCATATTAGAGTTTGCATAGAGTTTATATATTAATTCCAGTTAGAATGGTGTATTTTAAAGGTATTTTTAAATTTTCTTATATTATACATACCCCTGGTTTCAATAATTGGATTTTAATGAATTTAGACTTGTTAAATTCGTCTCAATGAGACAAATCTAATGATAGTAAAATCGCATTTTTAGCATTGATATTGGCCGAGTTATTGCTAAAAAATGCATTTTACTATACATTATTTCTGAATTGTATGAAAAATATTCAGATCTTAGCTAAATCCTATAAAATAAATGCAAGTTTCTTTGTGAAATTTATTTGAATTTAGCATTATTATAGGTTTTTTAAAGTATTTTAATTGAATATTAATTTCATTGTATTGTCAGGAAAAAATTTTTTTTATTATAATGTAATAGGTCCTATAATAACCTATTGAATTTAAACTATCATCTGATAGTACATATGTGAAGTAATTTTATATTATGATGAGTGGTTTAGTAATTAATAATATTAGATTTAAATTATAATTAGCTTTACTGTTTTGTATTTAACTATTTATTATAATTTTAATAAATTATTAAATGTATTGTGGTTTTAAAAACAAAAAGAAAATTCATTTTAAGAAAAATTTTTTTGATGATTACATCTTACTGGATAGATATAGCTTATAATAATTTGTTTGTATGGTATGTAAACTTAATATCAATAAAGTATATAAATCATTTAAAAAAAAAAAAAAAATATTTTAAGAAAAATTATATTTTTTTTGGTATAAATATACTTATAAATTGTTTTTTAATAGGATATTTTTTCAATAATTTAATACTATATATTTAATTATAATTTTGCATAACTTAGCAAAATCTATTGAATAATTATTAGATAAATATTTTATTGTAAAATCATCTATTATTTTATTCAAATGATTTTATTTTATAAAAGTTTAAATTGATTTTATTTAAAAAAAAAATACATTTATAAATTTTTCTTTTATTTTATATAAAAAAGAAAAATACAATTTATATTTAATAAAACAAAGTTAGCCAAATAAGTATATTAGTTAAAAGAAAAAAAAGTAAAATTTTATTAATTTCTTTTATTTGCATTAAAAAAAAATGAAAAAGGATTAATAATATACTAATATTAAAAGAAAAGGATAAATCTAATTGTAACAGCCTGTTACGCGTCTTATTTGTAACAACCCCAATTTTATCCAATTAAAATTTAAGATCAGGCGTAATGTAAACAAAACCAAAAGATCAGTCAGACAAAAGAATTTTTTAAAAAATTTCAAGAAACTGCTTATAACTTAAAATTTTGTCTATGAAACTGTCTTAAATACATTAAGTAAAAGTTTTCCAAATTAAATTTTGCATATAAAAATTTTATTTGTGAATTTGTGAAACACATATTATATTAAATTTATTATTAAAAAAAAATAAAAAAAGGATGTTACAAATAAGATATGTAACAGGCTGTTACAAATACATTTTTTCAAAAGAAAATATATTCTTTTATTGTTTTTTAAATACCATAATTAATATAATTAATTTAAAATAATAAAATACTTAAAATATTATTAATAAATTGGATAGAGGCCATTAATGCCTGTAGGAGAACCTGTTTATAGTAACAAAAAGAGGGATTTTTCAGTAGTAAAAAATAAACAAATGGACTCTTTGCAATAGAAGGGGGGGAAACTGCTAAAAAAAAATTTTTTTTTAGTTAATGCTAATTCAAACATTTTTAGTATATAATATAAATTTAATTTGTAGTTTCTCCCATTTTATTAAATATGTTATTTTATAGAGAAAATGAAGTACATGACCCAAAAAAAGCTTTATGTTACACAAAAGCCAAAAATTCTCAGAGATCACGTTTTTGTGATGTTTATATAATGAAAGAGTGTTTATTTCTGTTAGATTATAGATGCGTTACAATTTCTAAATGGCAAGCGTGATACCAGGAGGTCTAAAACAAGGGATGCCTTTTGGCAGCCCTTCTAAAGATCTTTTTCGTTTAGCTAGCATTGATTATAAGCCACTACTAGAGGTGACACCTACTTATGTCGCGGATATACTTAGCAGGTCAACGAATGCATTATCAAGCATAAATTTTACACATTCTATTATTGATAAACCACAAGGTATTTATTGATCACTTTTTCATATAATAATTTGTATGTAGAAAAATTATTAAATACATTCTTTATGCAGGAGGGCAAATATTTCTCATATCTCTGTCTCCAAACGCGGAAGTTCCATCAGATGGGTATGTACTAAAAGTATGTTTTCACTTATTTGATGAACACATCGATACTTTTAATTTAATCACATTATATGTTACTAACATTTAACTTTATTTATAATTAATTATCAGTTACTTTTATCCAGATCCTGAAGTAACTCACAAAATGCCATTACCGGATGGAAGGGTAAAAATTGAAAGCACGTTAACCACCTTGCATTATTTTCGTTTTATAGGCTAATATGTTTATTTTATAATAAAGGAATTGCTTTGTATGGAGAGACAAGGTTTTTCGCCAAGTGATCAAGTAACGAGTAAAATTAGAAGAAGATATCGGTTCGCAAACGATCACCAAGATCTTCAATTGTTACATTATTCTTTATCTGAGAGACGTCGTAAGTTAATTTATAACCATTTTTGATGCTACGAGTTTGATTGTTCAAACCTATTATTTATAGGATATTCAACATTCTAAGGAAAATTGTATAATGCGTATAGAGCAACAGATTGTTCCGCCATTTACAAGACAACATCCAACTCCAAACAGATACACTATGACACCAATGGCACCCATGCAAGCAAGCATGAGTCCTTACGGGCGACCACCAAATGCTATTTCACCTATGACAATCCAGTCGCCTGGTCCTTCATCAATGCATACACCGCCTTCTGCTTTGGGTCGTGGCCCTGTAGCGGGTACTCCTTCACCGATGAGTAACTCTTACGTTCAATTTCAGACTCGCGTTACAGGAGGCCAACGTGGACCACAGCCAGGAATGCCACAAACTCCAACAAAATCGGCTGGAAGACGCACAAAAAATGCTAAGGTATATTTTTATTATTAATCACTTAAAATTGCTAGTAAGTATCATGTAATTAATTTACAATTTAGAATAAAGCCGCCGCCGCCGCCGCCGCTGCTGCTGCCACTGCCGAAGAAGCTGATGAACCCTCAGGCGGTATAATATTTTTTTTTTTAGAATTCTATTAAGTTAGTTATGTTAACATCGACTTTATAATTAATAGACGAAATCGACAATCTGAAATTTAGAGAGGTTGCGATGTCAAGATACAAAAGGAATCACGAATATATCTCTGATATTTTTTCTGCGTATAGCGTTAGTAAGTTATCAGATTTGAACGAGATGGATAGTTTCTTAATAAAAGATCTAAATATTATTAAATATGTTTTTAGGTTCTATAATACCACCTAATTCAGTTTATCAAGAAAAGAATATCGATGAATTAAAACAACAATTGGTTGGTCAAATTATTTTTGTAAATTTGATATTTTTAGTGCAGTTGATTAATATTAGTGTAATAATATAATAGGCTACACATCAGGCAGACATCGACAAACTGAAGAATGAACATTCCGAAAAGATTGAGGTATTTAAACGACAATCTAATATTTTATCTAAAAGTATGACCGATCTTAGCAAATGCAACACCGTTGAGGTAAGATAACAAATAGTGAATTTTATATCTTCGCTTAATTTCATGTATAATAAATTAATGTTTTTTAATGGAAAGGAATTATCGAAATTACAAGAACGAACAGAAAAGGAGTTAGATATCTTAATCAAACCTCTTAACCCAGTTGCATTAATACAAATTCGAGATGGACCAGAATCAGATGTGGAAGTTGAGAGTCATAATGATTTGATGCAAGAAGATGCAATAAGTGAAGAACTATTAATGGAAAGAAATTCTGAACATGAAGGGTTAGTCGAACTTGATCAAGGACTTTCAACTTATGAAATTGGAAAAGATTTAGTGAATACAAATGAATTACATGATACTTCTGGAATCGAAGGAATCGAAGAGTTAGAAGGATTGAAAAATATTCAAGGGATTCAGGGGATTGAGGGAATTGAGGGAATTGAAGGGATAGGAAGAATAGATACTGGATTAAATGAGAATAATTTACAAGGATATTTTAGTTCTGCTAATATGCCCGGTTTAACAAATGATCCGAATCTTCAACTTGGTGGCCTCACTGGAGATCCAAATATCGAAGATCACTCGAATTACACCGGTCTGGCTATTAGTACTAATTATGGAGGAGATTCTTCCCAAATGTTTAATGAATATATACATACTCCGGATGAAGTTATGGAAGATGAAGTTCCGTTGCCATAAAATGTTGAATTAGTTGAATTAGTGAATATTAATTAATAAAATTTTATTATAATTTTCTTTTGTTAGAAAACTAATAATGATGCAGATTAATATAAGCATATTAAATAAGTTTCATTTTTCATTTTAAAGTTTTACTAGCAGTTTATTATTGTTATTGGTGCAAAGGTTCATGAATGCTAAATTTAGAAGGACGCTTAATATCCTTAGAATCCTCAACATACACTTTATGTATATATTATAGTCTTCCATAAATTTCAGCAACCCAAGATTTTATTTCCGTAATTTCATTTTTATCTACGGAACATTTTTCAAAATTAACTTCATTTTCTAAATGTTCAAATTTAAATCTTTCATTTTCATATCCTAAAAATTCTACATAATCTGTTCCAGAAGAATCTTGATGATCCAAAGCTGAAGTACGTGTATTCCGAAGTTGGTTTCTAATTAAAAAAAACTATATATTAATAAAGTAAAAAAGTTTTTTTAATTTGAATGAATTACGTACATTTCATTTTCCAACATAGTTTGAATTCGTTCAGGAGGCAACGCTGTAATCATATCATTTTTATTACAAGCAATTAAGGTAGGTATATTATGTTTTATGACATCCTTATTTGAAAATATATCATAAAGATATCTAACGTAAAAAATTACAATTAATAAATTAAATAACCAGATAAAAATTAAATAAATATGTTTACTTACTCTGCAATTGATCGTACATTCTTTGCACATGTTGAACTATCGACAAGAAATATGATTCCACATGTAATTGGTGTAAAATCTGAAAATTTAAATCGTAATTTTTCGTGTCCTGGAACGTCAACAAAATGTATCGGAACTTTTGTTAATGGTTCACCCTATTAATAAGGTAATATAAGTTTAATGCTAAGATCAATTATAGAGAATGTTTTTCATAATACGTACGTTGTCTTCAAGGTTAATATATCCTTCATTTTCTTTCATTGATGTGTGTGTCTGTACTTGTTTTCTATCTCTCAACTAAAACAAATATGAGAATAATCGAAATGTAACGTATCAACTAGTATAAAATAATAAGTCAACTTACTTTAATAAATAATGATGTTTTACCAGAATCTACTAACCCTAGAATAAGGAATGTATCCTTTTTTGACCGATTTTTCAATTTGAGGGCAACTTTAAAAAAACAATACGTGATTTTGTTCGTGAGGAAATTTATTTAGTATATTTAGAATTTCGAAGGAAAAGAATATCCGATATAACGTACTTGCAATAATTACTATCAGAATTGCCAAAGTAATCCATGTAAACGTCGAAACGTTCGAAATCATTTCGGAAAATAATAAATAATAAGAAAACCAGAAGACAGAAGACAATAATTCCTTGTATTACATACGATTTGATCTACCCAAATATTTATATATAGACCAATGTAAATTTTTTCCGCACTTGATTTAATATTTTTACACAGTTAACTTTCCTCGACATTAACATCATGGCGAACATTGTTCAGCCTCTCTGTGTTCCTTCTTCATATAAAGATCAACAATATCAGGTTTTTATTCTAACTTGTATTTAATTTGTTTATTACATAATTATTTTTACTGAATTATGTTTAATTAAACAGGGTTCGTCAACAGATCTTGCGAAAGATCTTTCAAATAGTACGACGTTATATGTCGGAAATCTTTCTTTTTATACTACAGAAGAACAAATTTATGAATTGTTTTCAAAAGCGGGAGAAATAAAAAGAATTATTATGGGTTTAGATAAATTTCAAAAAACTCCTTGCGGATTTTGTTTCGTTGAGTATGTAATTTAAGTTTTTCTTTCATCGTCAACCCTTTTATATTATTAAAAAATTTTTATGATATAGATATTATCATCATCAAGACGCATTGGATTGTATGAAATATATTAATAGTACAAAATTAGATGAAAGAATTATTCGAACAGATTTAGATCCCGGATATAGAGATGGTAGACAATTTGGAAGAGGAAGATCTGGAGGACAAGTACGTGATGAATATCGTCAGGATTATGATACAGGACGTGGAGGTTGGGGTCATGTTCGTGCTAGACAAGAAGCTGAACGTGCGAGAAGACAAAAAGAAGAATATGAAGCCATTACTATTATTCCAAGTGGTGCTCAGGAATATAAAGGGAAATGTACGTACTTTAGAAAAATTTTACTAGATCTCAGGATATAAAGATTTAAGGCATAGGAAGTTTATTTATCAGTATTTTAAATCCTTTAGCTTCGGGTTCTAAGAAACGCGATAGAACCGAAGATGATGAACGTGAAAATCGGGAAAAGGTTAAGGTATGGTATTTTTGGATATTTAAATTAGATGTTAAATGTATCAATAATAATAATCACTATTATTGAAAAAAAACAAGAACCCACGTTTTAGAGAAGGACGATCAGACGACGAAGATGAAATGCAGACTGACGCCTGAATTTTTCTTATTGTTAGTAACATTGTATATAAAATCTTTCATTATTTTCTTTTTCAAATCCCCGGTTCTATAGTATTTATTATTAAATGAAAAATATTATTCTGGTTGTAATCCATAATGTTCTTCTAGATGATCTATAATTGCAGGAATGCTAGTCAATGTATTAAAAGACTTTTTCTCCGCATTGCTCATAACATCCTCAAGCATATACATTCTATAACATAAGATTAATGAAATTAAAATAATTGGATAATTGATTGAAATTAATGAAAGCGAGGAAAGTTTCTTATACTTACAGATGATGATGAAATATAAAATGATTTGTTCCGTAGGCAATTGATAGTCTAACAAAATTTTCAATACAGTCCCAAGGAGTAAAATCATAACCAGCAAATAAAGCAGGATTATTTAATAAACCTCTAGCAGACATTACACCATTTACACCAGTTTGCTGATAAATATTCTCAGCATCATTTAAAGTAAATATATTACCATTGGCAATAACAGGGATTTTTAAATTTTCTTTAATTAATTTTATTGCATTTAAATTAACTAGTTCGGTTGATTTTTGTCGACGCGTACGTCCATGTACTGTTATAAAATCTACTCCTATTGATTCTGCTCTTTTTACAAATTCTATGGTCTTCCTACAGGGGAGAATATAAAAGAGAAGTTAGAAATTTCTCAAAAAAAAAAAAAAATCTTAAGATGAATATAACGTTACCTCATATCATCATGAATTCTAATTTTAATTGAGCAAGGTAATTTTGGTATATTCATTTTAATAGTTTTAATCATATCACATACAAGTTCAGGTTTTTCCATTAAATATGCTCCAATTCCTTCGTTTATAGCCCATTTTTGTGGACATCCACAATTGACATCTAAAAAATCAGACTATATTTAATTTCTGAAATAAAATTTTTTCTAATTCATTTATTTACCTATTCCATCAACATAATTGGCAATTAATTCAGCAGCTTTTAATAGATCAATATTGTTATTACTTGCAAATTGTATTATTAGAGGTTTATCACTCTCACTAGTAGTAAATTCACAATTTCTTGCTGTATTTGAATTTTTAAATTCTTTTGCTAATATCATTGGTGTATATGTTAAATCTACATTATATCTAAAAGAATGATGGTTAAAATAGTTCAATGCATAGAGGAATTTTATTACTTACCCACGAACTAATTCACGAAAAGGTAATTTACTATATCTGACCATTGGTGCACATACATTAATGTATTTTTTATGATTTGATTTTGAATTAATATTAAAAAGTTCTAAAACTGACATTTTATTAAAAGAAGTTGATTATTGAAATAAGGTGCATCAATTTATCAAGAAAGTCTTGCATCATCAGTTTGTAATTTCTGCGTGCAGGCTGCGTAAAGTATTAAAAAATTTAGTTAAAGGACGACAAGTGATTTAGAACTGCAAAAATACGACTATTGAAATGTCTTTTAATCATTTGACCGATGACGAAACAAATCGTTGGGAAAATTAATGGAACTTAAATCGCATTGGTTCTTTTTTTAAATATTAACAAACGTATTTGATACCAATGATTTTAATATTTTACAGTGAAAGGCACAATTGTACTGTATACTAAAAGTAGCATTAAATAATCTTACCCTGGTTTGCAATTTCATCATTTAAGTAAAATGCATTTGCTTCAAATAATATTTTATATGTAAAGGTTATTAAAAAAGTAATTGATAATGAACTACATTATATACATTTATAATAATGAACTATAACATTTCATAATAAATATCATTAAAATTCTTTATACATGATATCTTTCTGCTAGTCCGATTCTTTGGACAACATGTTTTGGCAAACAATAAACTGGATCAACAGGTTTCAAATCGGGATACCCCAACAATGACAAACCTACGATAAGAAAAAATCGTTAATACATTGAATATATTAAACAAAGCAAAAATTGTTGTAATCAGATTATTAATTAAAGAACATAATTTACCTGCAATTCCGAATAAAGTGTGAAATACATCTGCCATGTCCCCTGGTCTATCAGCTATACCTCCACCCTCGGAATCCTGATGAAAAATTTCAAAAATTTATATATTTACGAATAGATTCTAATAAGACAATTACAATTGATTCAAGGAAAAATAGACACCTGAGCAACCAACACAAATTCAATCAATTTTTCTTTATTTATCCAATGTAGCCTGCCCAAGATACTAAGCGCAGAAAGAACCCACCAGGAATAACATACCTAAAAAACAAATGAATTTTTTTTTTAAATTTTTATCAATAATTTTATTCAAAAATTGAAAAGAAAGAACATACATCTTCAAGTTTCTCTGGTCGTCCATTTAATCCACCATTTTTTAATTGTCGTTCACAAAGCCACCATCCAAGTAAATCTGCATCAACCAGATGCAATGAATTAACAATAGCAAGAGCGCCAACACAACAAAAAACTATTCAACAAAGTAGAATAATATTAACTTTGAACATATAAAAAAGGAATATCAAATCAATTTATTCTTACTTTGACCTGCATGTGATTCTGCTCCAGGTGAAACACCAAATCCTCCATCAAAATTTTTGCAAAGCATAATGAATTCAACAGCTTTTGGAACATTTATAGCGTCTAAACGTTTCAAAAGGGAAAGACAAGATAGTGCACAATAGGAAAATCGAGTATCAATCTCTCCCCATTCATCTCCCGTAAAAGCTCCCGTATCACGATCTTGACAGGATGCAACATCTAGCAAACAAATAATTAATAAATAAAAAAATCAATAAATACATTAAATTGTAATTCTCTTACATTCAACAATTTTATCCACATTTACAGCATCTAATGCATCTTCAATGACCAAAATTTGCACTGCATAGAGCGTATATGTTAAATGTGGATCGTGACCAATATGTCCACCAAATCCACCTAGAATGTAAAATCAAACATTGATCAGAAAAGAAATTAATCAACAACATTCAAATAAAAAAAAGACAATATACCAATAGTCGGTTTCTTTTAATTAAAAATAAGACTACCATTATAATACTTCAGTGCTTGAAATTCAATGTGCGGAATGTGCGTATGCACAAAATTTTGAACTTCCACACATTTTAAAAAAATGCAATTTTATATGATAGCATTTTTAAGAAATGTAATTCCTAAATTTTTATTTTAAACTTTAACACTGACCATTATCATGCTGACAAGAAACCACATACTTCACCACGTCTTCTTTTTTGAGTGCGTCAATGCTATTTAACAAGTCCAAGGCTGTTAAACCCCAATAAACACCGCTTAAACGCAAATGTTCCGTTAACCAGTATTCCAAGTCATCTTTTTTCTTTACAAAAAAACATAAGGCTTAAGTTAAAATAAAAGAAATAGGCAAGTATAAAATCAATATATATGTACAGAACTATACCGTGTCAAGAGATTGAATGTATTTCACATGCAAATCAACTAAAAGACGGTTTTGTTTCTCTGAAGTGTCCATACTTTACGGCATGTGAACTGTGATTTGATGTTCAATTTTTTATCAAAATATCATAAGATTATCTAAATAATCTAAAAAAACCGTCCCAATTTCTTGCTAAAATCGGGAAACCCCCTTAAAACAAACAACAAAAAAACTTGATTATTGACGAAATCTTATTTTTAAATAAAAATAATACCTGTAATTCTTTTTCTCAACAAGTAAATTATTCATTATCAGTAACACAATCACTAAACAAAAATGAAATAACTTATTATCACGTGCTCTTGTTTACATTTGTATTTAACGCGTGATTTAAATTACTGCTTTATTCACAAATCTAATGACAGCTTGTCTAATACGTTCTGACTAAAAAAAATTATTACGGTAACCGCGAATTACGTTTATCCAAAGTTATGAAGCGCTCTAATCAAAGAAAACTGAGATCTCAAGCAAGAACAATAGTACAACAAATGACGCAGTTGGCGAATAGGGAGGTGCCAAGTGAACAAGAAACTCGGCAACAACAGTCGATTTCTCCTATTCAACCGGCTAGTCAGTCTTTTAATCAATATAATGCAAATACAAGCTTTTATTCTGTATCTAGTGTTCCGATTGAAGATTTTAATATCGTGCAAACAGAATCATTGAATTTACAGTCCCAATCATCTGATAGTTCCGAGCATTCATCTGAAGATAATTATTCAAGTTTAATTATAAGTCACTCGGGCAGTTCGTACTATAGTTTCTCTCGTTCTTCATCACTTTCATTATCTAGAGGAAATTCGTTCATTGGTACTGAATCTGTATACTCGGCTAATAACAGATCGCGTGCATCATCTCCCTTCGTCATTTCGGAAACTTCTTCGGGTTATAATTCTGAGATTATTTACCATTCAGCGATTTCATCCGCAAATCAATCTTATGTCTCACATGACGAGAATTCTATTAATGGAGATAGTAGTTCAAGATCTTCCGACAGAGACAGTTGTGCTAGACAATTATCAGGTGTTCAACTTCTAGAAAGTTCTGCAGCATCGGTTGTACAAGAAGAATCCGAGAAAGAAACCGGTAATGAAAACAACAACGTTCGAGCACATATTGAAGAAATAAACCAACACTCGGAATTTTTTTACCATAGTTTAAATAGAATCAAATTTATTTTACAAGAAGGACTATATTTTATCATTTGGATGATTTTGAGTTTATACAGAATCATTATAAAATACCTTTTTGATCCTGTTCGGAATAAACTTACTAGATTGGTAAATGCAACAAGGGGAAGAGAGAGAATAACTACGATATCACCTCGAGACGCCAACCAAAATAACAATACCAATTCAACAATGACAAATTCTAATATCGTGATTAGAGCGCAACCGAACTTAATTAAATGGTTATTCTCATCGGCGGGATTAGCAGTGATTTTAATTGTTCTTTACCGTATTCCTTGTAACTTGACTAATATTCAAAATCTGGAATTATCAAAATGTATATCAAAAATTCATAATGTGTTTCGACAAAATGGTAATCTGTCAAATTATAGCTTGGAATCTTTAAATGATGATATTGAATTTGAGCATAATGATTTGTTGATTCGAGATGTTGTCGCCGATCAGGTTAAAACAGTCTGTGCGGCTGAAGTTCAAAAAAGGATTCCGTCGCAAAATTACGATCTAGTTAGATACCGGAGTAATCGCGTATCAGATGATGATGTTGTGAATATGGTTCGACAAGAAATTAGGAAAGCTGTTGAAGAAATGTTATACACTTATTCTCAAGATAAGTTAAACAAAGCAGATTTTGCCCTTTCAACTGGTGGTGCGAAAATTATTAGTCCGCTTACTTCACCAACTTATGAACAGTGGCCGACACAATGGTACAAAATGGCATTTGCAAAATTAACAGGACATGGAATTACAAGGGGAAAACCACCTGTCACAGCTCTCCAACCAGATGTACATGTTGGACAGTGTTGGCCTTTTGCCGGACAAAAAGGGCAATTGGCAGTACTATTGAGTCGACAAATTTACGTAACTGCTGTAACTTATGATCATGTTAGTAAAACTATTGCGATGGGCACAACAAGTGCTCCTAAAGAATTTGAAATATGGGGATTTGCCGATGACGAGCAAGATAAAGATAATTTTGATAATGAACATAGTGAACATACCAACACTGTTACCAGTAATAATTATCCCACCGATGAATCAGACTCAAATATTTATTTGCATTTATACGGAAAAGAGTTGAAGCTTGGTTCTTCTCCTAACCATTTGTTTTTTGGAAGGTTCGTTTATGATATAAATGGTTTACCCGTTCAAACTTTCGAGGTGAATCGATTGAATAAGCCTGTTAAAGCAATAATTATGAAAGTAATAAATAATTGGGATAATCCATTGTATACTTGCTTGTACCGCTTCCGTGTACATGGTGTACACTCAAATGTAAAAAGTCAAACTTCCTGAAGGTAAATATTCTAAAATGTTAATATTGAAACCTTACTTAGCAATATATTCATTTTTTTTTTGTTATATAGATGGAATCTAGATTTTAGAAAATTTTAAATAAGATATAAAGTTTCGAATTGTCTTAAAATCATTAAGAAATTTTAAAATTAAAACAATATTGCGGTTGCTTTAATAATATATATGTTAAGTTCAGCAATAAAAATAACAATTTAAACTATTGTAAAAAAAATCCAAAATCGCAAATAGTTTAATACTTTCTGGATGAGTAATAAATGTAATCATATTTAAGTATACTTAAAAAATATAAAGTTTAAAATTAATAATAATTTAAAAAGAATTACCTATATACTAATTTAATGTTAAAAAATTTAAATTATTTTTTATATGTATTTTATGCAAACCTAATTTTTTTTATAAATAATAAATAATTTTTTTTTTTTAAAAAAAAAAAGGGTTCTCTTTTTATTCATTTTTAGTACTGATAATTTAATAATATATTTGTAGCAAAGAATATTTATTTAAAATTACATATGACAACTTTTCTATTAGTATACAACAAATTAATACTAATATTTTAAATCAAATAGAAATATGATTTATTTTTCTTCTGCTCAACTTTATTTCAATTTGAATAGACTTCCTTATTACCTATTATCTCTTATATGTAAATGTAGAATCCCGCTTAATTATAATAAAGGTTACCGTAGAAAATTGGCCCTTTACTAATAGTTTTTACCTTACTTTTTTCTTAAATTCTATTGGTTAATTAGCTAAAAAGGAAAAAAATCATAACAATGTAAAATAAAATTTCCTTTTATAGTAGGATCTGCAAAGAATTTTATATATGATTTTTACCTTAGGCCTGGAGGTGACCTATCTTATAAGTATAGCAGGGTCCTGTTAATGTTCTTCATCAGATAAAGCAGGAATTTGATTCTTTCTGTCATTTGCAATTTTATGCTATATGATAAAATCTTCTTCATTATCACTAACAGTTGGTGAAGTACAATTAGAAGAACAACTAGCAGTATCACTACTAGTTGAAGGTGAGTGAGGAGCAGAAAGTAAACTAGTATCAATTGAAATAGAAGATGGAGGAGAAATTATGTCAGGCGATGGAATAATAAGTGAATGGTTTTCAAAAGCTGGACGATGAAAATTTGACATTGTTAAATTTGTAGATTCTTGTAATTTGACTTTTATTGATTTTATTTTTGTGTTAAAACTGTAATTTTTTGAAAAATTCAGATTACTAGTATTTATGAACTTTTTTTTAATATATGATAGATTTGCAAATACTATTCAACTTTGATAAAATCAATCTTATCATCTATAAATTACTTAATATATAGCATTTAATAGCATATAATCAAAGATAACGAAGATGAAACATCTCCCGTATTATGTATAATTAAAAAAAAATCTTTTTATTAAAATTTAAACGTATTTTATGCATAAAATTATATTTCAAATGATTTTTCGGGGGAAGTTGACTGAACTTCTACAAGTCTCCTACATGCTTTATATCTTGCTGGGAAAAAAGATAAGGAGATAAGGAGCGTGATTAGCATTATCGTATGATGCCATGAAGGCCATGAAAGCATATGAATACGGAACTTTGTTTCCTTTCAGCATAGCGATCACCACACAAGACACAAAGTTTTCTCGGCCTTTCATAACACATAAATATTATTACTAATATTGATGAGAAATGACTTATACTTTGGTCCCTTTGGGAACCTTTCCTTTTACAGTATATACAGGTCTTATTCTGTACATGCATTGTGGCTCCGAAAAAATTCTTTCGAACTGGTGATCACCGCTCCGGATTAATGATCAGTATTCCGGACTAGGGTTGACGCAAAATTGAGTTCGCACTAGTTGTCAATACTTCATTAATGGCGCGAAAACTCGTTCTTACTCCACAAGGAGAAGATACAGGTATACATTCCGCACCAGATAGCACTACGGATGTGGGTTATCAATATACGAAAAGTGCGCTCGGAACTATTGTAGAAGATCTTCACAAGCTCATTATATGAGAATTTCAGATAAATGTGTTGCTGTTTATCTTTATACTGGACAAGAATGTATATAAGACAAACATATAATACTTTGAGGGTAAAATCTATGGTGATCATGAATATTGATGGGACGGATATTCCTGCTAATTTTCACGAAAATTTATATGAAACGTTGCAGAAATTGTATTACATGAGTCCCCTTTGGCAATAATTGATGACCATGACCCGCTCAATCTAGGTCAAGAGAAAGGTCAATCATAGACTCAAAATTAAAGCTAGAAAAATATTTGTTAGTAAACTACTTATTACTGTTATTTTTTTCTTGCTTGTATCAAGAATTTTGTATGTACCAATCGGAGTCATATAAATAGCCAATCTCTGCTGTTGCGATATAAAGTTTAAGCATGGCTGCAGAATCAGTTTAGTCGTTGAGCCTTTTTCTGCCTGAATAAGCATTTTTACCAATACATCAAGAGGGAAATCCCATGGAGAGATAACTGATCGAGGACAGGTTCTGTACATCTAGTACCACACCTAGCTCTTGATCTAAAGAGTTTAATTCGATCTGAAGTTGGCTTTATCAGCACACTGTGGTGATTATATTCAAAATCCATTAAAGCGAAATACCTATTTTCTTGTGATAATCCTCTAATGAATTCTCTTCTGAGATGTTTTTCACAGAGATTGACGAATCATTACATCTCTTTACATTCGAATAGTAATCCACTATCGAGTCTTTGTCTTGAAGCAATAACCCACATCGGAACTTATCTAGATCATCTGCATTATCACCTACCTTAATCTTCCTTCGGTCATCTATATTAATACCATCTGGCCATATTTCCAATCGAAGTTCCTCGGCACAATATGGCAATTCTACCAAGCTTAAAATTTACGGAAGATATACATCAAATAATGATGTTGGATTCCTTACACTGGATAGACTATATACAAATTTCTCAAGAGTTTTCTTTTCTCCAATGCCTGATTGCCTTTGTCTTCCAATAGGTTTTGATGTCGCAAAAAGTTCCTCCCAGTCATCCCATTCTGGTATAAATCCAGGATTCTCTTCGTTATTCCATTCATACCTTGATCCACATTCTTTGATAAATTCATTGTAGCCATCTCGTCATCTGAAATTTTGCCGATAAATTGGTTATATAGCTAGAAGAATTTTTAAATCGAAAAATGGTTAATCATTGCACAGATCTGGTACTGACCGGGTAAAAAAACAACTGGTTGATGATCACTGCTCCGGAGGCCCAGAAAAAAATTCTAATCAAGTGATCACTATTCCGGACTAACGGGCTCGAAGGACAATCACAAACTCCAACTCTCGTGCCAATCTATCCGATGTCAATTTAAGACCGATTATATATTCTGTAACTGAATATTTATTATACCGGAAAAAAATATAACAATTATGTAAACACATTATCTTGTCTCCTCCGGCTCACATATAATGCACTGAATCACTAGTCATGGGGTGCCGAAGACAGTTAGATTGCCATCTCGTTCTACTTCTTCATCCGATCTTTCACGATTCTCCTCCTTGGCTATTTGATAATAAAGCGCATATACAAGACTGGCACACAGATCATTGTCTAGATACCTTTTGCGATAATTTTCTAGCCTTATAGTGTATGCCTCTTCATTGGGAAACATCTTGACTGCGAGCGTCTTAATATATTCATTTGGTTCCTTTTCAGCTCGCAATTTCTTTAGATAGCCTCCATAGTTTTTCGCAATATTATCATACTTTTTGCCCTTTCGCAATGCAGTCTTTATGACCTTAACTTGAGCAGTTTCTATGTCCTTATGATCAACCATTTTTGTATCTTTTTACTATAATGCTAATAAAACTAAATAATTAAAAATATATTTATATCATCCTATACTAGAGGAAAAGATTGGATTTTTTGTCTGAAAAAATATTTTATTATAAAGTAACTATGCTCTAACACGAAGTCTAGCTCTCATAGCCCTTTGTTTTGCTTCTTCGGAAGCTATTTTAGATGCTACCAGATGCTTATATAGTCCAATTCACCAATGACCATATGGGAGGATTTGAATTCCATTAAGTTAAGATCCAGTGCTTATTTTTATATATTCAACAATATATTTTTTAATGGAAAAATTTTCAATAAACAATAAATTTGACAATGAATTATTTGATTTATAATTCTGAAGATGAAGATATATAAGAATTTATATAATATATTAAATTTTTTTTAATATAATTCTTTATAAATATTTAAAGCAATGACATATATTAGCTAATATTAGTTTTATAAGAAGCCCCTCCTTAACTAATTTTATATCACTTAAGATTTTGCTTAACCCACTACCTCTTAAAATATTAGCTAATATATATTATAACCCTTAATATTTTCTTATTTAAAAATATTTTTCATAATTTTAATTTGAAAATTTTGATTTATATCCAGTGGGTACTATACCCTAATCATGTAATATATGGATTTGTACTTATAAATCTTGGTTCCTCTTTTTTGATCTTTGAAAGTCTATCCAAAACCTAAAAAAAGAAAACCAGTTATTAACTGTTCTATAATAAATAAAAATAAATAAATAAATCAAGATTTATATTTATGAATCTTGGTTTCTCTTTTTCTGATCTTTAGAAGCTCACTCAAAACCTAAAAAAAAAAGGAACAGTTATTAGTAACCATTTTATAATAATAAAAAATAAATAAATAAAACCAAGATTCGTATTTATGAATCTTAATTTATTCATTTATTAAAAATCCACTAAACCTATAAAAAAAAAAAGAAACAGTTAGTAAACCATTCCAAAATAATAAATAATAAATAAATAAAACCAAGATTTTTTAAGAATTTTAGTTTTAAATCCCCTTTCTTCTTCCCTCTTTCTTATTTTTACTTTAAAGTCTGGTTTTGTAATAGGTCAGTATTTTTTTTATACATTTTATAAAAAAAAATAACAAAAAGAGATAGTTTATTTCTTAACTTTAAATAATAAAACTTCTTTCTCTTTTCTCTTTTTCTATTTTTACCTTGAAGTTTGATTTTATAACCAAGTTAGCATTTTATAAAAAAAATAATGAAAAAGAAATATTAATTTGTTACTTAAATTAAATTAAAAAATTAAAAAAAAAATATGTAAATTTTGAAATAAAACTTATATTATTTCAAAAAAAAAGACAGAAGATATAAGAAAAAGAAAAGAACAAAAGAAAAAGAAAAGAACAAAAGAAAAAGAAAAGAACAAAAGAAAAAGAAAAGAACAAAAGAAAAAGAAAAGAATGATAGGAGAAGAATAAAAAAGAGAAAAGTGAAAGGAAAAAAGGAATTTAAAAATAATAATTTTTTTTTAAAACTTTTAATATGTGTAATATGTGATGTTTAATTAGTGCACTATTTAACCAATATCTAATTGTAGATTATGGTCAAATTTTTTAATTTTGGTTAAATATAAGCCAAATTTTACCAAGATCAAATATTTCTTTTTCAATTAGTATTTATGTGGGGTATTTTTTGTAAGGCGATTTCTATTTGTACACGTAGTGTATGAACACGTATCACGTGATTTAATATATTTATATCATGTGACTTTAAACTGCAGTCCGTTTTTATTATATAAAATCAATTAACCAATTACAATAAAATGTGCCTAAATAAATGCGCCTAAATAAATGCGCCTAAATGTTAAATAACATTTTGACATGTCTTTGCGTAATGCCCATACTGCTTACATTTACTGCACTTTTGACCTTTTGTATCATTTGTAAAGTCTTCTATAATATTTGAAGTATTGTTGTCTTCTATTACATTACTATTGCTAACATCTTTTAGAACCCGTTTTTCTCTATTTAAAACCTTTTCAACGCTTGATATTAGCCTTTTCGGTGGCTGACCCTTATGCTTGGGATTAATAACATCAGTAAAGTTTTCCGGTTCCAGTTCGCTCTTTACATCATAAATAAAGGCCTTGAAAATATTTAACAATTCTTGTTGCTTATCACTTTTAAGGGCATAGTCAATAGCCTTTTTCAATAATCTAGCCAATTCTGCGTACATAGTTTTAGGCGAGTTTACGGCTGGTTGAGATGGTTGAGAGCCGTGTGAATCAATCTGAATAGAAAAGAAATGTTGGAAAGTGATAGGATTTTTGAATGGTATGTTATCTTCTGATTGTATCTTATCACATACTGGGATAAAAGGATATTGTTGTAGGAGATCGTTCAGTTCAACATCAGGATTTATATACCATCGATTTGGAATCATACATATGTGGAAGGTGGCGAATCTAGAGTAGGTACCAACACGGAAAAAGTGCCGATATACCAATCTCTTATTAATTAAAAGAAGACAAGTGCATAAATGCATGCCTTCATTGAGTAGAATTACGTAATGTCTGATTTTCCGTGTGCCAGTTGTTCGTACGTTCCATACTTTAAGGATTGCTTCCATTGGTATAGTTAAAACTAACGATCGCAAAAGGATTTGTCTTGTATCTTGCTCTTGTTCTCTGATTCCTATACTTATTTCTTCATTATCAGTTTCTATCTATAATCGTAGAAAATGTAGAAATCGATCAAAAACAATGAAATTAATAGATCCAAATTTTGCGACTTGCCCTTCGCAAGGTTATATCCTATCTTGAATAAATTTTGAAATGATTACCTACCTCCATCAAATGATGCAAATCCGTGATCTGACTAATATCATAACACACAGATTAATTCATTTGACTTCTTTGTTTCCCGAGCATTGTTGGAGTTAAAAATTCTTTGATAATAGCATCCACTTGATTGAAGAATCTGGTATTCAGCATCGGCATACCAACCGTTGATAAGGCATCTCGTTCAATTTCAAATTGCTCGAAATGTTCGTCATTCTTAACGTGATCATTAATACTAACCAACAGATTGCATAACGATGTAGAACGATCTACTTTGCCGTGCACATGACTATTTATAGATTCAATTCGCTGCGTGCTTTGAGCACCAGTGGTAAATCTGTTACAAATTCAAGGTACCGCTCACGAATTCTTAGTACTATACAGCAGGGTTGGAAATTGTACTAGTACAGTACTAGTACAGTATAGTACAGTACTAAGTACTGTACTTGTACTTGAAAATTTAGTACAAATACAATTTTAGTACATACTATTAATAAATTTTATTGGTTAATTTTATAAATATAAACAATATTGATCACATGATATCTACCTAAAATGGTTAAATTATATTCTAGTAAAAAGTAATAATTGTATTAGTACAGTGTACTTAGTACTTGTACGAAATTTTTGCTAGTACAGTACGTACTAGAATTTTGCTAGTACAGGTGTACTACCACAACCCTGCTATACAGGATATCAGTCAAATACTTAACCGCTACTGGATATTGTTCAACTAATTGTTTCCATTGAAGTTCGAATAATTCTTCGCAAAGAGAATTCTGACATACATAAAATTTACGACGGAATTCCTCGAACTGACTACCTAGCTTTCCTTTAAGCTTTTTCTGGAGGTTCAGATCTATATGAAATATGCACAGCAGGTGCTGAGCATTGGGATAAATATCCTTGATCGAACGAACCAAAGAAGGATCGGAATCAGAAAAAATGACTCCCAAAGAAACACCTGTTTTGGTAGATATACTATCAAATATCCACTGATAAGTATCCTTTTGTTCTCAATTATTACGCACGCTACGATCCTGGTTTTGTAGTTATTATCAATTATGGTTACGATACAAAGGATCATTTGAAATCGGTTTATGTTATAGGTGCTATCAACTATAACGACATTATTGTGCTTACTATATAACTTTCTTTGTGTAGGTGACATCCATAAAAGAGAAATCAACCTCCTCGAGATTGGATCTAATCGAGTCTTTACAACTTAAAGCGGTTCCAAGTTCTTCCAGTCCATCAATCGTTGGAGCATCTGAGGGGCATCCTCATCTCCCGGATTATGTTTTTGTCAAAACTGATAAACCGCATTAGAGTTTAGAACCGGTTCTATTTTCGAAAACCGAATTTAAAACGGGCGCAACCGGTTCAATCCGTTTCAAACCGATTTCGCAAAACCCGATTGAAACCGAATAACCGATTCGTATATATTTGATAATTCTGGCCAGAATTAAATGTGATCGGCATAAATCCTGCCAAGTTATAATTCCGGCCGGAATTACATCCCTTGTGTAACACAGTTCGAAATTTTGTGGGACACAAATATCTATAATAAAATTTTGTGTAACATAACTTACCCGGTGGCTAAACTATTTAGCCGCAGTCACGTGATTTAAATTTCGTAATTCGGGCCAGCACTATAAAGTTTCAAATATTTTATTAATTAATTATAAATTTTATAATTATTTCTTATTATTTTATATTACGTCAATTTTAAACTTATAATCAACTTAGGAAAAATATTTGAACAATCAAATATATTAGAAATCTGTTCATTTCATTTATTATTATTCTTTTGATACTCATTTTATTCAATAAATTATCAATTTAACTAAACCATTTGAATTAAAATTTTTATTCAAAAATCTGGTGATTATTTAGAGAATTTCGAATATGGATTTGGTTACAATAGTCTATTATTAAATCAATAATTTCTTTAATTAATTAATTGTAAAATATTGTAAAAATATCAATTTTTTTTGATTTTTATGAATTTGAAAATCAAACTTGAAAATCTTAATCATCTTTCCTACATGTTGTTATAAAAAAAATTGAAAGAAAAAAAAAATTGAAAATAAATTTGGGGGAAAGAAAAAGGATAAAGAAAGGAATCGGTTCAAAAAAAGGGAAATTTCCAAAAAAAAAGGAATCTAAAAAAAAATAAGTACCGAAAAAAATTCTGAAAAAAAAGGACAATAATTCAAAAAAAAAAAATATTTTTCAGTTTGGGAAAAAAAATTAAACCTAAACGGGAAAAGAATGAGAAAAAACAAATTTTTCGGTTTGAAAAAAAACTAAACCGAAAGAAGAAAGGAAGAAAATTTTTTTTTCAGTTTGAAAAAAAAAACGAAAAATTTAAAATTATTAATCAAAAAAAAAAATTCTAAAATTTCATTAACTGAAATTGTATTAGTTGATTGGGGATAAATAGATCAGGTGGAGGCATGTCACCATTCACAAAAATTAAAAATCGGTTTTGATCGGTTTGAAATAATCGGTTAATCGGTTTAAACCGGTTTGAATATAACCGGTTAACCGAATCGTAAACCGGTTAAATTTCGAATCGGTTAAACCCGGTTATAAATCCGATAACCGATTCCGGTTCTAACCTCTAAACCGCATTATACAAAATTTTTTTGTGAATAGGCTGATCTGGATAGTCATACCTTAATAGGGGATATATAGATACCGAATCCATTTGCCTTTAATGACATACTTCTCTATATCGGCCAATATTTCCTTTGTCAACTTCCAAAACTGCAGGGCTATTTCTTGAATCAACGGGATAAGCGGATGATTATGTTCGTTATTAAATGAGTTTACTTTTACAACTCCTATTTTCGGACGAGTGATGTTAAGTTTTCAAGGGCATAGTGTTTGTTGGGAATGAGCATTGCGTTGCTTTGTCGGATCTGATGTAGTTTGTGGATTATGAGACCCAGATTTTGCGCATTCGTAAGTGGCCCTTCACATTACACCTTGAATAGTTTCGCTTGTTCTGATCTTATAACTGAAATCCTCTTTTGACGCAAACCTATGTAACCAACTTTTGAAGTCTTCCCAGTCGGTAAAGGTAAGCCCAGAGGTTAATTCTAAAGAATCAGATGGCTTATCTGGTCTATCAGACTCATCCGTTTCGTCATCAATGAATGATTTCAGTTTCATATCATTATCAACGAATAATTTTGGGTCTATTACATTATCAACAAATGAATTTGAGTTCATTTCATTAAGCTGTTAAGCAGATTCTTTAATTAGATGATTGATGACAAATAATAAGATAGAAGAAACATATACAACAAAGATAGAGAAAACATATATAACGAAAGAAGAGGGAACATGTAACAGAAGATAGAGAAAACATAACGATATACACAGAAGAAAATTATGTAAGTTATCATTGAAAGCGAAGCATCATATTGTTCACCACAACTAACATTTTCTTGTTTTGTTTTATTCATCTTGATTATACCAAAAGGTTAGATAGAAAGCAAGAGAGAAGAACAATGTAATTTTAACAATAGGACCTTATGACTATGACGTAAATAATTCCATCGTATGATGTAAATAAATGTATCGCTATTGGCGCAGCAGCTATATTTATCATGACGCGAACATATATCACGTGGTACGTGTCCACACACTATGTGTACATTTATAAATTTTCTTTTTGTAATATGATAAGTGGTTTAATAATTAATAATAGAATTAATTAATTTAAATTTTTTTATTTATATAATTTAGTCAATACTACCTTAATTTTCTTAATAAATTATCAAATGTGCAGTGTTAAAAAAAATTATAAACTATAATAAAAAAAATTTTAATATACCAAATTAATCATATGATTAATATAATTGGTAGATTATAATTAAATAATTTAAAAATTATTTTTTATTTTCAGTTTTTTGTAATAGTAATACATTATAAATGCCATAGAAAGGGTTTAAAAAATTAGTTACTAGTATACTTCTCCGCTAATTAATTACGTCGTATTTCGGTGAACGAACCAATTCACTATTTATTATAAAATTACTATGAATTAATTACGTCTGTCAAAATACATTACGTCTGTCAAAATAAATTTAATTAGTATTTTGTCATTTTGACGAAAAGTATAGTTACTAGAATGCAAAAAAAGATAACTATTAAAAAGTAGATAAGTAGGTTAAAGAGTAGTAATCAGATTATAGATCTTAAATTATAGAATGATAATTAAAATATAAAATTCAGGTTATAGAGTGGTATTCAGAATTCAGATTAAGGATGTAAATTAAACTCATTTTAGAATTTGATAAAAGCCTAAACTTTATTAAAACTATTTAAACTATTAATAAATGTTTTAACATTGTCTAAACTTAATAATTATCTAAACTTTTTAACATACAGTCAACTCTCTTTATAGTCACACATTTGGGACAGTCCATATTTGGTGATTATGAGCAAACAGTCTTATGACTTTATCTTTTATTATTAAATTTAAACGAAAAGTACAATAAACAAATCGAACAATATTACAAATATCAAATATAGAAAATAAACATAAAAAATAAAAAGAACTAGCTTCACGATTCATACAAGTAAAGAAATCTAAACAAAATAAAATTAAGTAAAGAAAAACTAAACTATTACAGAAACGCATACCCCATCTTTACCCGAAGGCCAGTGTGAGTCAACTATCCAGCATGTCCTAAGATCCAATCCGTTACCAAAAAGAAATCCTAAGTAGAGGCTGAACTGTTAAGCGGCGCCAAAAATCCAAATGCGAAATCCA